GGTATCCATACTACCCCTCAAATAGTCCTTAATTTTAGCTGTCTCTTTCCATATTCCCTCTCTTGTCACTCTCTCTACCCCTCCTCACTCCCTCTTCCCACTCAATCCTCCAATTCTAGCAACCCTCATCCATCCATAACTATCTACTCTCTTTTCATATCCTAGGAGGAGTTATCTGTCCCCACACCACAAGTCCTATATTATTCTATATCTGTGTGGTTTTATGGATTGTAAAATTGCTATAATACAGTTAACAGCTAATATCCACATATAAGCAAATACATACCATATTTGTCTTTCTAGGTCTGAATTACCTATCCAGGATGATTTTTTTCTAGTTCTATCCATTTACCTGAAAATTCTGTGATTTCATTTTTTAACATTCATTTTTTATCCCATTGTGTAAATGTACCACATTTTCTTTATCCATATTTCTGTTGAGGGATGTCTAGGTTGTTTCCAATTTCTGTCTATTATGAATGGAGCAGCAATGAACACGGTTGAGCAAGTGTCTCTGTGGTAGGATGGAGCATCCTTTGGGTATATGCCCAAGAGAGGTATAGCTGGATCTTGAGATAGATCAATTTCCATCTTTCTGAAGAACCACCACAATGATTTCCATAGTGTCTATACAAGTTTGTACTCCAAGCAGCAATGGAGGAATATCTTCCTTGCTCCACATCCTCACCAGTATGAGAGATCATTTGTTTTATTGATCTTAGCCATTCTGACTGGCATAAGATGAAATATCAAAGTTGTTTTGATGTGCATTTCCTTGATGGTAAAGGATGTTGAACATTTCTTTAAGGTTTTCTCAGCCATTTCAGTTTCCTCATCTGAGAATTCTCTGTAAAGAATCTGTGCCTTATCTTTAGTCAGATTATTTGGGATTTGGATATCTAGTTTCTTGAGTTCTTTATATATTTTGGATATTAGTCCTCTTTTGGGTGTGGAGCTAGTAGAAATCTTTGCCCATCCTGTAGGCTGTCATTTGGTCTATTAACAGTGTCTTTTGCCCTACAGAAGCTTTTCAGTTTCATGAGGTCCATTTTGTTAATTGTTGATCTTAGTGTCTGTGCTATTGGTGTTCTGTTCGGAAAGTTGTTTCCTGTGCCAATGAGTTAAAGGTTATTCTGCACTTTCTCTTTATCAGATTCAATGTGTCTGGTTTTATGTTGAGGTCTTTTATCCATTTAGAATTGAGTTTTGTACAGGGTGGTAAGTATAGATATACATACAAAATTTAACTTCAGCCTTTCCATTTTGCACCCCCTTGATCTCCTTCAGTTGCCTTATTGCTAGCTAGGAATGCAAGTACTATATTGAATAGGCATGGAGAGAATGGAAAACCTTATCTTGTTCCTGATTTTAGTGGGATTGCTTTGTATTTCTCTGCAGTTAAGTTGATGTAAGCTATGAGTATGCTGTAAAATGTTTAGGTATGTCCTCTGTACCCATAGTGTCTCCAGGACTTTTATCATGAAGGACTGTTAGATTTTGTTTTTCTGTAGAGGCAGACAAAACAGCATGACCAGGGAGAAGGGAAGAACAAAGAGGTTTTGTAGAGGGTAAGGCAGAACTCTTGTAGAGTTCATCAGAGCCAGGAGTAGAGAGCAAGTAGAGATGGAGAGTGAAGAAACAGAGGACAAAGATGAGGCAGGAAGTGTAAGAGCTTAGTTGTTAGCAGGCCTATGAGAGAGCAGTAAAAGAGAGGACAAAGAGGAACTGAGTGTCAGGATGGAACTGAAGCTATGTAGACAGGATTTCATCCCAGAGAAATAAAGTAGAAGGACAAAGAGCTTAGTGTATCTAGATTTATTCCTGCCCTGAATGCCTGATGGAGCTGTGGCTGTATTGATAGAATTTTGTCTTAGAGGAATAAAGTTAACAGACATAAGAGCATCGTATGCGTAGATTTTTTTTCCTCAGATATCCCACGCCGGATGTAGCATCCTCCCTGGACACTGGGCTATCCATATCTGGTGCCTGAATAGGTGTTATTCTAATAGGTCTGCCTTTATATGTTACTTGGTCCTTTTCCCTTGCAGTTTTTAATATTTTTCTTTGTTCTGTGTATTTAGTGTTTTGATTATTATGTGGTGATGGAACTTTCTTTTCTGGTCCAGCCTATTTGATATTCTGTATGATTCTTGTACCTTAGTTAAAAAAAAATTCTTCTGCAATTTTGTTGAAAATATTTTCTGTACCTTTGACCTGGGTTTCTTCTCCTTCCTCTATCCCAATTATTCTTAGATTTGTTCTTCTCATAGTGTCCAAGATTTCCTGTATGTTTTGTGCCAGGAGTTTTTTAGATTTCACATTTTCTTTGACTGAGGTATTTATTTCTTCTATCATGTCTTCAACACCTGAGATTCTCTCTTCTATCTCTTGTAATCTATTGGTGAGGCTTGTCTCTGAGGTTCCTGTTGGTTACACGGCATGCTGCTCATGGATGGCCGCTGCGGGCAGCAGCCATGCCGGCAGAGGAGCGTGCTGATTGGAAGAATCACAGCCATGGTTACCTTGTTAGAGCTTTATTGGGAGGGGGGCAAGAGAGGGAGAGAGGGAAGGAGGGAGAGAGGGAGAGAGGGAGAGAGAGAGAGAGAGAGAGAGAGAGAGAGAGAGAGAGAGAGAGAGAGAGAGAGAGAGCGGAAAAAGAATACGGAGGTCCAGACGGAAGGAGCAGAAAGGAAAGAGAGGGGCACACAGAGGGCCCACCCGCTTTTTAGGCTGGGACGCCGTCAAAGGCTGATGACGTAATTAAGGACCGAATCCTTACAGTTCCTGATCAAGTTCCTAAATTTTTCATTTCCAGATTTACTTCAGTTTGAGTTTTCTTTATTGATTCTGTTTTAACTTTCAGGTCTTGAATTGTTTTATCCATTTCCTTCTACTGTTTGTGTTTTCACAGATTTCTTTAGAGGATTTATTCATTTCTTCTTTACTGCCCTTTATCATATTTATAAAGTCTATTTTAAGGTCTTTCTCTTGCCTTTAAGTGATGTTGCAATGCTCAGAGCCTGTGGTGGTGGGATTGCTGGGTTTTAGTGGAGACAGTGTCCTCACTGTTATTGAATTTTTATGCTGGTATCTAGGCACTAGGACAATTGTGATTCTGGGTGCTGGTATCTGGTCCTGTCTTTGTGGGTGAGTATTTCGTTCCTTGGTTTCCCTTGTTCTCTCTGGTTCTTTGGGGAGTGTTGTGGAAATTCTTCTGGGATTCTGATAGATGTGACCACCGGGGATTCCATGTAAAATGTGTTTCTAAGCTTTGAAAGCTGACCCTTAGGAACAGGGAGGGGACGTGGGCCAGGCTTGAGGGTATCCATGGGGGGAGGAGATCAGGTTATTCCACCAGGATCAGCTTAGTCCCCTGGTAATAGGGGCAGAGAGTGAGGGGAGGCTGCACCAGGTGGCTCACTATCGAACTGGGAGTCAGACTCGGGGGCTGGACCTGGAGAACAAGAGGGAGGAGCGAAGATCTGAAGTGAGCTAGCTGTTTGGATGGCCAGAGTGGCCTGCAGGGTCCCAGAAAGTGCCTGATGGAGTTAAATGAGTCAGGGGAAGGAAGCTCGGAGGAGTAAATCTATGTGATCTTTTGGAGATGGGGGTGGGGGCAGAGGGAGGGTACAGCAGGTAGTCTGCTATGGAGCTAGGGATAAGACTAGAGGATTGGATTTGGAGGAGAGGATGGAGAGAAGAAGATCTGCAGTTAGCCAGAGTCAGGGGACACTCTCTTTAAGATGACTGGCTGCCTCAAAGTCTTAGTGCCATAAAAATTAATGCCATGGGGAGTATTTCACACCGAAATGTGTGAGAAATCCACCTTAGGAAGTAATTCGGGACTTATTTATCACCAAACAAAGCAAACCACACAGAGAAAAATGGAATCCAATAACATAGGATAAAAGCTAAAGGAACCTACCTTGGAAAACAATTTGGGGCTTATTTATCACCAGACAAAGGAAACCACACAGAGAAAAATGGAATCCAGTAACACAGGATGAAAGCTAAAGGAGTCTTCACTAGTGAAAGGTAGTTAAAAACTGATTCTCACAAAGGCAAGCGAGTGCTATAGTTGACTGCCTATAATGGAAAATCTAGAAAGTGACTCAGATGCTTAGGGGATTTCTCTAGCTAGAGACATCTATAGGCCAGCCTAAGGCCAGTGAAACATCTCGATACTGGTCAGTCTTTCTTCTTCACGTCCCAAGCACTTCTCCTACATTCTCAAGCTAGCCACAATTGAAGAGAGTTGAAATTCAGCTACAATGTTCTGTGTGCCAACCAAGAAACAAGAAAGACAAACTTGCTCTTTTACTAAATCCACCATTTTAATTAAGTTTCTTTCTTGGGCATTTCTTACAACCTTTCCATGTATTTATCACTAGCTAATTTCACATTGGGAAGCTAATAGGAAAGCTTAAAATAAAACCACAGACATAGTGATTTAAGCATGCTGAGTTCTGATGGGATGGTAAACAGCACAATAGGCACTTGCTAAGAAATGTCTTTGGAAAGGGAGTGGAGGCGCATCTGGGAAGAGGAGGAGGGAGCTGCGGTCTGTTGAAGTAAGAACTATGGAATTACTTGACTTTTTAGAATATATGAAATTTTGGTAGATTGGAACAAAAGTTTAAAACATTAAGCAAAGAAAATTCCATGGGCATTCTCAAATTAAGCAAAACACAACACATCATACACCAATTTTTTTTCTGTTAAAGACTTGGCCAATGATGGAAAGAAGGGGTAGGTTACAAACTACATTTTACTTGGGCTTAATTTTACGAACAGTGAAAGCCTAGAGCATTCTCATCCTTGCATTTGTATTCTGTAGTAACAATCAGCTTGACTTTCCAGGGCATGTTTGCAAACAGTATTTCCCCTGGGTCTCCGTTAAATATCCCAGAAAAGCCTAGTGGTTGATACCTCAGGACCTTATCCTAGGAGTAACACACTGAAGGTCTGACAGGAAATTTCAGCGTTGGTTCTTGTTTCAGGCAAGGCCCAGCCAAACCGGAAGTCCTGTCTATTCAGTGGCCTGGAAAGCGATCCAGCCGCCGTGTGCAGAGACACAACAGCTTTTCCCCCAACAGCCCGCAGTTCAATGTTAGCAGTCCAGGTAAGGCAGACATCGATGCTCTTCTTCATGTGGATTATCTTAAACCAGCAGCCTGGAACGCTTTCCTTTTCACCAAATGCATGTGAAACTAAAGAGGTCAGAGTATTTATTAGGAAGTGAGGAGGTGATGACCGCCAGTCCCATAAGATCCTAGCAGCTGTGCCTGGACAGCTCACAGAGGAATGGATGCACAGGAAAGCACTCCAGCAGCCAATTCCCGAGAGGCTGGCCCTGCAGCGCACCCTAGTTCTGAAACTGCTCCTCCACCCAGTACCTACCCCCCCCCCACACCTCGACCAAATCACCTGAAGTGTGTATCATGAACTCTTCCGGGAAACTCTTAGGATTAACCATAGCTGTCTTCTTCTGTCCCAAATCCTTACACAGTGTACATGTGTTTCCACATTATTCCAGCTCACTTGGAAGAAACCAAAGCCCCAAATATGAAGTGACTTCTCTAAGATCATCTAGACTACTAGTCCATTTTTATTGCCAAAGAAACCCAAAATCTCTATCATTACAAGTACAAATAATTGTTTTTCTCCCTCACAAGTGTGTGGTTGGAGGTGGTTTGGGCATTGTCAGCCGGATATGGTTCTAGGCTATAGGCTGAGTTCTCTGCTCCTGGTAGCTTCATCTGGAATTAGTGACAAGCAGAGCATTTTTGTCTCCTGGTAAATGTCAGAAGCACAAGCAACCAGGCGAAAATTATATAAATAGGTTGAAACTACAATGCAGTTTTTGCCACCTAACTTTCCATTTGCCAAATAAGTCACATGCCAAGCCCGCTAGTCATGGAGCAGGAAATTATGCCCCTGACTGTAGCAAGAGGTGTACAAAGTCCACCCCCCTAACACACACACACACACACACACACACACACACACACACACACACACACACACACGCGCGCGCGCATGCACCCCAGGGCTTGCACAGAAACTGTGCAGAAGGAAAGAGCAAGGAATCGGCAAGCAAATTACAGGCTGCTCTCATAGCTCGAAAATGGCTGTGCTGAGTTCCCAAGGCCAAGCACAGATTATACTATTTCCATTTTAACCATGTAGAAAACACTGGGCCAGGGAGATGGCCCCACAAGTAAATGAGCTTGCTGCCAAACCTGGCAACCAGAACTTGATCCCTAAACCCACATGGTAGAAAGTCAGACCCCATGATTGAACCAACTCCCACAGGTTGGCAGCTGACTTTTACACACAAGCCTTGGAATGCATCAATTTTCCCTGAGTGTGCAAGCACACACACCCATACAAGAGTACGCACACAATAAATAAATAAAATATAAATGTGATGTAATTTGGGGGGAAAATACAGAAAATACTCAATTATGGTCATGCTATTCTGAGTGTATCAATCAGACTTAATCTTAGATGATAAGTAGGGTGAAGCCTGGCTATTACTTTAATGGAAAGGCATAGTCAAAACTACAGTTTCCAAGGTGTTTGATTTTCCTTAAATCCCTGTAGGGAACAATGAAGCTTAGAGATAAATATACTACCTATTTTGAGCAGTAAGCGTTAAACATGAATATTGGTTTCTACATTTGAAGTATTTTCTTTAAACTCCCATTTCTGATAGCATTTATTTGTTGCAGCGTTAATGTTTGTTTTTACTTTATAACTTGTTGGTGCATTTCTTCCTCCAAAAGGTGGGTACAGAAGTACATTTTGATACAAATCATTATGCTTTATGTTTTGCAGTCTTAAAGATGAACGGGTTTTCATATGTGAATAGTACCTCTTTACAGTTTAGGTCCATTTCTTTCTATGATAAAGCAGGATTTATAGCTGTGAATTCAATTTTGCCCTCATTTCAAGGAAAAATAACTAATGTAACTTCAATAAGCATTTGTAAGACATCTTAAGTGAGTTGTCATCAGCACACATGAAGCTAAGATGATCATTCAAGATCTCAGAACATGATGCCTCCCTTTTTATCTTTATAGTTAAGCAATAATACCAGCAGTGTTTATGTGGTGTTTAAAGTGGTGTTTTCTGTACAGTCCAGAGAATGATCTCTAACAGCCATATTTTAGATTTTGAATGATGAGCTTATCAGGTAGATAACAAGCCAAAATAAAAGAATAAATAATGTGTGTGTGTGTGTGTGTGTGTGTGAGAGAGAGAGAGAGAGAGAGACAGAGAGAGACAGAGATAGAGACAGAGAGACAGAGAGAAAGAGAGAGGATGTTACAAGCTCTAAAGACATCCCATAGAAGCTGACTGAAGAAGGTCTTTTAAAGCAGCCAGCTGGAGTTCCTCATGGAGAGTCCCAGAAGAGTATCCCCCTTTGCCGAGGCTTCCAAGTAAAAGAATAAATAGCAACACCTAAAGATGACATCATCAAATTGGGAGGCTGAGGCAGTCAATGGAGTTTACAGTTGAAACTCTGTTCATGGATGAGCTTCCTGGGTCTGGAATTCTGGCTTCTCCTTCCCACTACAGACACTCTTATATCCTGGAAAAAAGTGGTAACACTTCTTGGAAATAGTTTACGTGCTGGCTCTTCTGGGGGCATAATGTGTTTACTCTTGAGTTGTTTTGCTGATCTAGTTCCTCCCTGCTGTAAAGTTTGAGAGCCAGCTCATCCCCAGACAAGGAGCCTTGGAGAACACTTGGAAACAAACACGCAGAGATGAGGGGGGAGGGTAATCCTATTTCTCAAGCCAGCTTCCAGTGAGCTCAAACAGACATGACACTTGCCAATGTCATATATATTGCATGGTACCAGATACGCAGATAAGTGCAGATAAATATTCGGTATGTATGTATATATGTGCTATACATATATACAATTACACATGTATCCATAGGTAGTCCCGACTATATCCACACATATACATGAGCATATTTCATACACATGAATACAGCACAACAGACTCTGGTCTGCACTCTTCCCCCCTAAGCCATGACCGAAGGGTCCATACAGTCCCAGGTTAGTCAATGGGAAAGACAATACCAGCTACCTTACTATTACACTTGTTTTACAGCACAGCCCCATATCAAGGTTCTGATTTTATCTGTTCCTGTCCCTGCTTCATAGCTGAGTTTAGAATCAGTGCTTTCCTTCTTTTTCAAAAGAAAACTGTCTTCTAGGAAGGTAAAACTGGCTCAGCAGGGTCTGCTCTCTTGAGCTTCACAGGCCAGTGCAGAAAACAACATTAAAAAGAATAAAACAGGCTCATGAAAAAAGTCAGTGATGCAGGGATCTCTGTGAATCGATGAGACATCACTCATGGATACGTTTTTAAGGCTCTGTTAAAAAATCAGTGACACTGCATTCTTCCTTCAGGGTGGAAAGAGCATTCTTCATTATTAAAAACTTAACATTCTGCCTTTGTGATTTTCTCCCAAGCGTTGTTAGAAGAAGACAACCAGTGGATGACCCAGATAAACAGACTCCAGAAATTAATTGATAGACTGGAAAAGAAGGTAGGTACTTTCTTTTCTTTCCACTCTCTCCTTCTTTGCAAGATCTTCTGACCTAGTTTCCTCCCTCCTAGATGTCCACCCACAGCTGTCGCATGGATAGAGTAATGCTCAACATCCAGCTGACTCTCCGAATGGCTGGCTATAGCTACGAGGGCTTGTTTTCTGACTGGTTGTTTGTTTGTTAAATCAAATATGAAAGCTCAGAGTTACATTTAAAATGAGGTCCAGGGCTGAGAACTAAATGAACTCTTAGGTTATGTTTGAATGATGCTAATGGCATCTCATAGACAAATACAAGTGAGGTCTTGTGACTCAGTTTAATTAGGGGAAAGGATTATTCTATGCTCAACTTCTAGAGATTAACATGTTAACTGATCATCTTAACATCAAGCCTGCCTAGTAAGTGGACAAGAAGGGATATGATGAAGACTTCTTTGTAGCTCCATTGTATGTTCTTAATTTATGTATCTTTATGGAGCGATTCAGCTTGTATCAAGTGTCCTAACAGTATACTGGTACTATGCTTATAAACAGCCTTGATGGTAATGGTGACCTTTGTCAATCAGTAAAAAAACTTGTTTTCTGTGACTTCAGGACAACAAAGAATGAATATTTTTGCTTGGCAGAAAACCCGAGTTTTGAAGAACCCATGTATAATTGTACAAATAATCAAGCAAAGGAAGGGTGTTTGTTGTTTAAATGACTGATAGTCGGAACTTAATTCATAGCTAATGCTCAGTAGGTCCTGACATGTGCCAAAAAATTGCAATATGCAGACGTTTACCTGAAGGAATGGTCTCCATGAGCTGGGTGCTTGGAAGGCTTTCACATTCACAAAGTGTGTAAGTTATATTTTAATACTGATGACAACTCAATTAATAATTTGATTACAAGCAATAGAAATCATCTTTCTAAATTTAATAAAATTGAGAAATTTCTGGAAGGATATAGAAACACTCATGAAATCCGCAGATAGTGGATTCTATGACATGAATTCAGGAGTTTGGGAGATAAGATGATTCCAGATGTCTAGCTAGCAAGAGCTATAGTTTCTTGGGCTATGTCCACTAGAATTAATGAGTTCAAACCATTTCCAGTCTGTTTATGTTCTACTCATGATTCCAGGTGGGAAGACGGGCTTGGTGTTGTTAGGGTCACATGCTAGCCTCTTGGAGAAAGTGGGGGGGGGGGGCCTTTCAGACCACTGCAGTGGAAAGAGAAGAGTAATTCATGGAAAAGAAAATGTGTTGACATTTAAGTTGGAATAAATGCTGATTAGCTAACAAACTGAAGAAGTAAAGTTTTAGTAAACAAAGAAGAAATTAATTGGAGAGGACGGCGAAGGCATGGAAGTGGAAAGGCTGTGTCTTTCGTTTAGGAAAGGAGTGAGGACTAAGTTGCTGTGGTGATTGCTGCCTGATCATGAGGGGCATTTCTAACAGACGGAGGGATTTGGACTTGGTCTTGGGAACAACAGACACAGTTTTGTTTTTTGTTTTTTTTTTGTTTTTTTTTGGTTTTTCGAGACAGGGTTTCTCTGTGTAGCTTTGCGCCTTTCCTGGGACTCACTTGGTAGTCCAGGCTGGCCTCGAACTCACAGAGATCCGCCTGGCTCTGCCTCCCGAGTGCTGGGATTAAAGGCGTGCGCCACCACCGCCCGGCACAGTTATTATTTTTTAACTGGTAATTATAAACATAAGATCTTTTGGTAGAAAACCAGGCAGTGAGATACAAATTGCTTTAAATCAAGATCAAAATGGATTAAAACAAGAAAAGACTAGGTTGCAAGCTGAAGAAGTCATCTCCAACAACGGTATCAATTTCAAGTTTGTGTCCCAGAACCCAGAGATGGGTCCATACTATGTGAGTGAATGGAAAGGAAAGACTTCCAAGATCAGGAGTAGAATTAACGGTACCACCAGATGGGTATGCTGGGAAGCCACAAACAGTATGAGGATTTCAGCCTATCTGAGTCCATAGAAACTGTCTCACAGAAATGGGGGGAGGGACAAGGGGTGCTCCACTCTGAGGTGCAATGAGAAAGGAAGCTGGCTTTCTAGATGCGTCAACTTCAGGGTACAATAGACAGAGGTACCCCTTTAAGTGTCAGTAACGAGGTCAGCTGACAGGTCAGGTCTTACACCTGGCACAGCTGAGGTGAAACCTCTGGGCCTGAAGATGGACAGGATGCTGAAAACAAGGTTCTTTCTATACAAGGAGAGTCACGTCCGTCAGAGGGAAGCATCCCTGGATAGCTCCAGCCCTTCAGCCAGGGCATCTTCATTGACTTTGGCCTCCTACTGGAGCAAACACATGAACTATAAGCATGTTGCAGATCAACTTTCCTCTTTCATTTCAAAAAAACTACATTTTCAGCTAGGACTAAAGGAAAAATATGAAAATTAGTTTTCTAATATCAAAAGGCCTAGGAATATGAGACTCTGTTTTGAAAAGAGAACCCAATGGAAACATAAGGGTTCCTGTGTTAAATAAGTTTACATTCTTTTAAAGAACAAAATATCTCTTTTTGAAGTGGTTTTGAAGTTCCTAGGGAAACTATCTCTTCTTGGTGTATGAAATATGTGCAGTTCTTTTTTCTGGAATGGCTTAAACTTTAGTAATAGCTTTCTAACCTGTTTTAAATCAAAGTATTGTCACATCCCTTTCTTTCCCAGACTTTTGTCTCCCTCCCTTCCTGTGAAACGATTTTATTGTGAGAGCAGCATCCAAGAGAGTTGCTGAAAGTGCAGTGTGATGGTGTTCAGCCTGGGCCTCCCACTGTGTATGCTCAGCGTGAGCTGTCTTAACGAGTAGTGGAGCAGTATGGGTTAGGTTTGCTTGTATGATTTATCCTGCACTGTGCTGAATTAGGTTTCCAGAGGAAAACTACCCAATTGCCAAAGAGCGGCTAAGTGCGTGTCATCTCACTGTTGACTCCCTTGTTTCCTGTGGTTGTTAGCATTAGATTTCATCTCCCTGTTAAAAGAAAATACACTTGAGGCAGAACATAAATTATTTTTTCTGCCTATTAAATATTTGTGATAATCCTTCCTAGACTATAAACTAAACATGATACCATTCAAGGGGTTGGTGGTTAATAACATTCATGATTCCTACAAGTTTTTCAGGTTTTGTCTGTCCTTTCCAGTCTCCATGGGTAATAATGGATGTGTACTGAAGTTATAACCATGCTAAATTGAATTTATACAAAAGACCTTTAGGGCTGGGGAGATGGCTCTAGGCATAAATGTATCCCATGCCAACAAGAGAACCCCAGTTCAAATACCTAGAACCATATAAAAGCCGGGTGCAATAGCACCAATCTGTATCCCTGTGCTTCTCTGGGGAGACACATGGGAGGTAGAGACTGGAGAATTCCTGGAAGCTCACAGGCCATTCATCCCTTTGTGTGAAGCAGCAAACAAGAAAGAGACCCTAGCTCCAGCAAGATAGAAGGTGAAGTCTGATGTTCAAGGTTGCCTTCTGACCTCCACACATACACTATGGAACGCGCACACACAGACACACACACAGACACACACACACAGACACACACAGACACACACACACACACACACACACACACACACACACACACACACACTGGCAGTGATAAGGACTGTTCGTTCCCCAGTGTATCATCAGATCACCACAGGAGGACTGACTGAGGATGGCACACTCATATGAGCAAAGCTTTCCTTCCCTTACATCAGACAATGTAGAACTGAAAAGTGAGAGAAATATCATCAGAGACTGCCAGCTCACAGCTCTGTCAGTGCTGTCCTCCGAGTACTCCATTCACATTCTTATTCGTTACACGATTTTTCCTTTTGGAAAAGCCATGATTTAGATGGGGCCTTCACCCAGGCACTCGGTGATTCTGCGATGTCTATGTGCCTAGCAGCATTCTGGCAATAGCAGTCCAGAAATACTTAAAATGGGTAAAATAGTTTGTCTCTACAAAACAGACAGAAATACATGAAAGAATCTATGAAAGAAATCAAGTCAAACAGCTGAACTCCTGAAGTCGGCAATGTGAGTGGATAGTCTGGGAAGGTCTGTGCAAAGGATGCTGTATTAAAACTGGGTGTGAAAGATAAGAAGGAGCCATCTAGAGGAAGGCCTATGGGGAAAGGAATTTACAGCAGAAGGGACTGAAAGTGAATCCTAGAGTTGATAAATCACTTGCCCAGAGCTTTACCACACACAGCCAAGCCAGAGCAGACCTGCTCTGTGATGACCAGTTTAACACTGTCTAGCATAAATTGGACTTCTACAATGGCCAATTTATTCCTAGTTCTTTGAGGGAAATATTTCACGTATTCCTCACTTGGAATACACGTATCTTCACAAGTGTTGAAGGTTTACTCTCTTGGTTTTACTGGGTACATCAGTGTTAACCGCTGACCACAGTTGAGGACCTGAAGGTCTTTGCAAAAGTCTTTCATTCATGAAGACTGACATTCAAAGGTTCTCTTCTAAACTTCACACGTACACCGTGGTGTACACATGCCTACACACACACACACACACACACACACACACACGCACGAGCACATGCACACACACACACACACACACACACACACACACACACACACACACACAAAGGTTTTAAAAGTTTGAAAAATATTTATTTTATTTTAACAAATATTAGTAGTTTTCCTTTATTTTTCAATTCACCAGTTTTAGTAAAGAAAACTTACATTGGAGCACGAAAGCATTATAACAATAGACAAATATCTGTGATGCCCTCCTAACGAAAGAAAGACGTGACAATACTCACAGCAAAGTCAGTCTGCCTGCTAGGCTGGTCATTCCAACTTTGCTTCTCCTCTGAATGCATTTCTAGTCTCCCCGTTGCTCTCTGATGGCACCAGTGAAGTGAGCAGTAACAACTTAAACATTGCATAAATAGCTCCTTAACATTGATTTTTAATAATGATACAGTATCTCTTTATCGGAACAGCTCAATTTGTAAAATGAAAACTAGTTATCTCCTTTCAAACAATAAAGTACTTCAGTATGGTGATATTTTATTTGTACTGAAATGTGATTTTATTTGTATGTTAATAAATAAAGTTGCCCGAGGGTCAGAGCTATTAGAGCCATAGGAAAGCTGGGCGGGGTGGTGCACGCCTTTAATCCCAGCACTTGGTAGGCAGAGCTAGGTAGATCTCTGTGTGTTCAAGGATACAGCCAGCATTGGAGACACACACCTTTAATCTCAATACCAACCATGGAAGACCTGGAGGTCTGTACAGACAGGCAGTGACTAGGAGGTTATGTGGTTGGGTTTACAACCAATGAGAAGGCAGAACAGAAACTCTATAAAAAAAGACAGACACAGGAAGTAGCTCTCTTTTGGAGAGGTACAGCGACAGTGAAGGGTAAAGTTTTTAGCTCTTAGTTATTGCTCTGACCTCTTGGCTTTCATCTCTGTATTGGCTCTGTGTTTCTTATTTAATAAGACGGTTGGTTACATCTACACTTCAGGCTTAATATTAGCCATGGAAACAAAACTACACTATGGTTTTATGCCGATTGTTTTAGTTATGTAACTTGACATCTTTTTCTTTTTCTCTACCTTTACTTCCCCTGACTGAAGGATCTGAAACTTGAGCCCTTGGAAGAAGAAGTTATTGAAGAGAGCACTAAACCTGTGAGTGATTTCCATATCAGAATGTCAGAAATACATACTTTGAAGACAAGACTTACTTCCCTCAAAATCTAGTGCCCCAATAACAAGTTGAAAGCTTAAATAATGGATGGACACATTTCACTCCTTTTAGATTTACCAAGACACTTATTATCACATCTATTATTTTTTGCTTTCAATAACAATAAACATTTCATGGCATGCAAAAAAGCAAGATAAACCCATCATAAGAGTTACCAGGGCTGGGCGGTGGTGGTGCACACCTTTAATCCCAGCACTCGGGAGGCAGAGGCAGGCGGATCTCTGTGAGTTCGAGGCCAGCCTGGTCTCCAAAGTGAGTTCCAGGAAAGGCACAAAGCTACACAGAGAAACCCTGTCTCGAAGAAAGAAAAAAAAAAAAAAAGAGTTACCAGTTACTAAACCCAGGAGCACAGTATACAGACAGATTTCAGAAAAAAAATTACAATTTCAGCAATTTTCCAATTGTTTTGCTCTTTGTTTAAAGCTCTTATTCATTTTGCTTGGCTAATGTGAATTTGTGAGGACCAAATGCTTCACATCAGGCAATAGTTGCTTGTGTGAATGAACTTGTCATGCACAAGGTGCAAAATGAAGTTTTTATAAACTTACGAGACAATGAGTTATTGCATAATTGAATATGATAGGCAAAGAAGGAGGCCATCAGATGTCATCCTAAAGGCATTTTGTAAACACCACTAGGTTGAGTACTGTAAAGGCCCAAGCTGAAACCTAGTCCTGCATATCACTATATCTCTAGCAATTAGCTTAAATCTGGGGACTGTTAAATACTAAGAGATTATATTGTTAATCCTCAAGATAGCCAAATGGGGGTGCAGTAGCATTTGCCTCATTTCATAGAAGAAGAAAGTAAGATGCAGAGAGTTTTATATTTACAGCTGAGCTCCGGAAGCCCAAACACTCACACTCAACACTCTGGTAACACTCTCAACACAGTGTCTCGTGGATTTCTCACCACTGCAGTAGAGGTGCTTATTGCTAGCAAGATTGTGGATTAACAGTTGATTTTTGTTGTTGTTGTTGTTCATGAGATTTTTCTCCATCGTGAGAACAGATTAGATTAATTGGTGGTCTTATTGAAACATAGTAAATCTAGCCATTATTGCATCTAACTTTTTGAGCCATTACATAATGATGAATCCAAGATACAATTTATGTCCTAAAACCCATTTTCCCCATCATCCCAAAGTAAGGGAAATAAGACAAAGTTTTTATAAGGCATTTACCACTTTAGTTGGCAGTGTGAACCTGGGAGAGCAAGCAGGGCCTAAAACTGAGGCAGACTAAAGTCTCATGTAATAACCAACTTTATTCAGAGCATCAACTTTATTCAGGCAATTTATACTCTAAAGGTTAAGAAGAGTCACCTGAGTAAAGTATACAATCACAAGGACAAGGTGTACATGGCAAAAACATGTTTTCCGTAGAGGTATGTGAACAACAGCTGAAGTCAACTCACTCCTGTCTGATACATCTGGGAGGGCAGGAAAGCACATTCCAAGAACAATTCTGTGTTTTGAAGAAACTGAGGTCACAAGACTATTGCCTTGTTTTCTTGGAGTTCTCTTACAAGCTCTGAGAATTCTCACATGACTCCACTCTTGAACTATGTTCTGGCAATAAGACTATGTAGTATCCCTCAATTTTATGATACAAATACCAGTATTTCAATTTTTTGTATCCAAACTTAAGAAAAAAAATACCTTGTTTAAGGCCTCATAGCCAGTAAGAGTGAGGCCAATTCATTTGTATTTATACTCCTTGTTCTTGAGAAAGGAGAAGAAACAAGAGAGCAAATGATAGAAGCAAATAGAAGAAAACTCCACAACTTTCCAGTACTCTAGAGCTCTCAGAGAACTCAAAATCTGCAATAAATAAATACATGGAATGTGTTAAAGGACATTCACTAAATGTCACTTGCTAAAAGCAAAAGCACCTTCCATAAACAAAATACTGAAGGATCAGCTATGCATCAGTTGGTGAAAAGGTCTAGAGATAAACTTGTGAATACTATTTGTCAGAAAACAGATGAGAAGGAAACAGTCAATTAAACTGGAACCAGTAATAAAATGTAGTAAAGAATATTATAGATGAGTATACGTTTTCACAAGGGGACATGATCAGAGAATGCATCCAGAATTATATATTTAATACAAAACCATAAAGAAGAGACTGTAAGAGCCCCAGGAGATAGAGAATTCCAAGAAAACAAGGCTCTCTAAATCAACATGTTCAAAGCTCATGTGGACTCACAGAAGGAGGCAGCATGCACAGGGCCTGCACTGGTCTGCACCAGGTCCTCTGCACTTACATTATAGCTTCCAGTTTAGTGTTCTTATGGAATTCCTGAGTGAGGGGATGAGTGAGTCTCTGGCTCTTGTGCCTTCCTTTGGCTCTTCCCATTTTCATTTGTCTTTTCCAATTCCTATGTGACTTAGAAACCAGTTTGTTTTCTAATGAGAGACAGAAAGGGAGTGGATCCAGAGGGGAGAGCAGATGGGGAGGAACTGGAAAGAGTAGAGGAACAGGACATGTTATGTGATTTTAAAAAAATCTATTTTCCATACCACAAGGACACTTGCTCTACTGTGTTCATAGCAGCATTATTTGTGATAACCAGAACCTGAAAACAACCTAGATGCCCCTCAACTGAAGAATGGATAAAGAAAATGTGGTACATTTACACAATGGAGTATTACTCAGCTGTAAAAACCAATGACCTCAGGAAATTTGCAGACAAATGGAGGGAACTAGAATAAAAAATCATTCTGAGTGAGGTAACCCAGACCCAGAAAGATAAACATGGTATGTATTCACTCATAAGTGGATATTAGAAGTAAAGTACAGGATAACCAACCTACAATCCACAGCCTCAGAGAGGCTAGATAACAAAGAGGGTCCAAAGAGGGCTGCATAGATTTCCCTGGGAAGGGGAAATAGAAAAGATCTCCTGGGTAAACTGGGAGTGGGGATGGGGGAGGTGAGGGGATGGGAGCTTGAGGGATGCAGGAGTCAGGTTGAGGGCAGGACGGAGGGGGAGAGTAATGAAAGAGACGTCTTGATGGGGGTAGGGGGTTTTTCAGTGTTAGGGAGAAACCTGGTGCCAGGGAAACTCCCAGGAATCCACAAGAATGACCCCAGCTAAGACTCCTAGCAATAGTGGAGAGGGTGTCTGAACCACTGTAATCAGATTGGTGACTACCCTAATTGTCATCAGAGAGCCTTTATCCAGTGACTGATGGAAGCAGATGAAGAGATCCACAGCCAAGCACTGGGTCGAACTCCAGGAGTCCTTCTGAAGAAAGGGAGGAGGGATTATATGAGCCAGAGGGGTCAAGGTCATGATGGGTAACCAACAGAGACAGTTACCTGAGCCCGTGGGAGCACATGGACTCTGGACCAACAGTTAGGAAGCCTGCATGGGACCAACTAGGTCTTCTGCATGTGGGTGACAGTTGTGTAGCTTGGTCTGTTTGTAAGGCTCCTAAAAGTGAGATCAGGACCTGTCTGGCACATAACTGGCTTTTGGGAACCTGTTCCCATGCTGGATTCCCTCACCGACCCTTGATGCAGGGGGAAGACCTCAGTCCTACCTCAACTTGGTGTGTCATGCTTTGTTCAAGCCCATGGGAGGCCTACCTCTTTCTGAATGGAGATGGAGGAGGAGTGGATGGGGTGGGGGGTAGATGGAAGTGGTGGGGGCAGTGTGTGTGGAGGATAGGAGGGAGGGGAGCTGTGGTTGGTTTGTAAAATAAATGAAAAAATGTTAATTAAATAAAATAAAAATTTAAAAAACATTTTCAATAAAAGGAAAAAAGAAAGGTGGAAATAAAAATGTAGTTACACTGTACAAGAAAAGTTACTTTACTTCTGAGGACATACTCAGGATACAACTGTAGTAAGCAGAATATGTCGTAAATAGAGCAAGGCAATAGTAGATGTTTATTCTAGATGCTAAGTAAGCATGTATGCTGCACTAGTTTGCTGCTTAGTAACCCAACCCCAAACTTCAGGGACTTGGAAACAATAACCACAACTTTATGGGGAGGAAAATTAGACAGGGATGGGTGGCATGGTTCTTGTGACTCCTCGGTGGCCCCCTTCAGATATCTATGGTCAGCTGGGCATCAGCTTTGCTGGTGATGGCCTTTCATACATGTAGAGGTCCAGAACTGCTCTTTGAGGGCTTAATTCACAGTCTACCACCTGGCTTGTTTTGTTTTGTTTTGTTTGCATAAAGTTGTATTGAAATTGATCCCTTCTCATTGTTTACGTAATGACTGTTGTCACTCAGTAACAGATTTGAGGAGTTGCTACAGGAACCAAGTAACACACAAAGCATGAAATATTTGCTGTCTGTTTATAGAAAATTTTATTGGCCCTGCTCTATCAGGGTCACATGATGATCTCAGGGACCTGAGTTGGGGGGCAGGGCGGGGGGACTAACAGTCCCTTGGGTCTTTATTTGAAACTGTAATGCGCTGTCATTTCTGCAGCCTTCAGTTAGCCAAAGCAGTTAGAAAGCTAACCCAGGTCCCGGGTGAGGGAAACGGAAATGGCAACTTTGTGGGAGGAACAGGAAAGTCACACTCTAAGGGGCCTGTAACTTCTGGGGCTGTGGAGGCCTCTGGTTGTTGGCAGTATTCATCTACTGAATCATGTAAGAATTGCTTTTCAACTGAAAGAATTATAGAGAAACGGGTGCATAGAGGTCTGGAGCTCACATCTATACCTAAGATAGCCCCAGAGAAATCCCTGACCCACAAAGTCCTTGCAGATGTCTATGAAAGGATATGTCCATCATCATGTCGGAAATCAATTCTATTTGGTTACTAGTACTAAGCCGAATTCCTGGGAGAGTCACACAAAGAACTGATTGATCACACAAAACCTTGGGAGCTAGTCACAGGTTTGTATCTTCTGATTTTTGATCTCTGACCCTGAGAGGAAATAAAACAAACGTCAGTTGGGCTGTTGAAATCAGGTGGGTATTTTTTTTGGGGGGGGGCGGGTTTTGAGACACTGTTCCTCTGTGTAACAGCCCTAGCTGTCCTGGAACTCACTCTGTATCCCAGGCTGGCCTCGAACTCCTAGAGATCTGCCTGCCTTTGCTTCCTGAGTGCTGGAATTAAAGGTGTGCACCACCACCAGCCAGCTCTCAAGTGGCTATTTATGGTAGTAAATAGATAAAATTTATAGACTGGTTCCAATACAATTTTTTTTTTTTTTTTGAGCTGAGGATTGAACCCAGGGCCTTGCGCTTGCTAGGCAAGTGCTCTACCACTGAGCTAAATCCCCAACCCCAATACAATTTAAAAATGTTATTTTTCCAGTCAAAAGCCCACACAATGATTCAGGGGCCCATAGTCCTCATCCTGAGTCTCTCTCATTCCCAAGATAGGCCTTCCTCCTACCAACAGAGAAGACACAAAAAAGGAATGTGATGGCTGACATCTTTTGTAACGTTAGGCTCAAATGTGTTATCTAGAACTTCTGTTTGAATAGTTTGGTAAAAAAAAAAAAAACATCGAGTGATTGCACTTAAATGCTAGGAAAGGTGTGACAGAGAGTCCCCAGTGTACCTGGAAAAATGAAGAATGAATACTATGGAGTCTGACCATCTAATCCCCACAGGTATCCCCTTTAGAACACACACAGGAGACTCCTCACAAGAGAGACACCCAAAATTCTCTATAGTTATTACTTTAGATCAAAATCTGGGATCTATGGATATTATTAAGCCCTATTTGTTAGGAATTGGTCTCTGGAGATCTGAAAGACATGAATTTTAGATAAAGTAAACTGAGAGAGAGACAGACACACAAAGAGACAGACAGGCAGATAGACACAGAGGGGGAGAGGGAGGGAGGCAGGGAGAGAGAGAGAGAGAGAGAGAGAGAGAGAGAGAGAGAGAGAGAGAGAGAGAGAGAGAGAACCACAGTGATCAAACTAGGCCATAAGGCATGAGTGGGGTGGGTGGATGAGAAACACACAGCCCTCACTGCTTGATTACAACAATGAATTCAAGCTGAGAGACATTTTTCAGCTAGGGAATTCTATGATTAGACACTGGGTCTCAATTCTTGGAATAGCCTTGCTACCCAATTGTTTTTGTGAAAAATTTTTTCCCTGGTCCATTAACCTCTGTGATGGTCTGTAAAAGCCAACTGAAGAACATCACTTCCTGGGGAGTGGGGAAGATCATACACTATTCATAGCCTGTTGAGTGTTCATATATACTTGTGGACAGGAACATAGTTCTAACAGCTAAACAGCTGAATAATTTTATCACTGGCTTTAGTATTTCAATGGCAGTGCAATACTGTTTCCTCAAAAAACTGATAGACTTATTATTTGCTTTTAAAAACAAGGAGTCTTGTGTGTGTGTGTGTGTGTGTGTGTGTGTGTGTGTGTGTGTGTGTGTGTGTTTGTGTGTGTGTGTGTGTGTGTGTGTGTATGCATGTAGCCCTGGAATTTAGCCAGGACACATACATGCTAGGCAGGTGCTCTACCACTGAACTAAATCCCTAGCCCTAGAAATCTAGGCTTTATCTATCACTGCATACTCAGAATCCTGCATGTAGTATTTACTGTGACAAAATAAAAAAGCATTTATTGACATCCTGGTCACTGTTCTACTGCTAAGAATAGACACCATGACAAAGCCAACTTTTATGAAAGAAAGCATTTAATGGGGTCTTGCTTACAGTTTCAGAGACCAAGTCTATCATCATCATGGCAGGGAGCCTGGAGCATGCAGGGTGGCACACACAGTGTTGGAGATGAAATCTGCATCCTAATCTGCAGACTGAGAGCAGGAGGAGAGAGAGACTGGGTCTGACTTGAGCTTTTGAAACTTCAAAGCCCACCCCCAGTGACACACTTCTGTCAAAAATGTCACACCTACTTCAGCAAAGACACACTTCCTAATCCTTCTATCCATTTCAAATAGTGCCACTCCCTTGGTGACTCCATATGAGCCTATGGGGCAGTTCTTATTCAACCCACCACAACTGGATATTTTTAGGGCCTCACGTAGTTCCTACAGTGCAATCAGTGCTTGACAAACAGCAGCTATTTAACAGGCGCTGAGGAATTGGATAGAACAGGGAACAGAAGATCAGGGTTTAACTGCAGCCTCTGTGCTGCATCCCTAGCAATAGTGGGCAAGTTTTGTTTATGTTCCATATAACTCTTGTGAATTTAAATTTGCTTTTCACTTTTATGGGGCTTATTTTAACACTTTTTAAGTTTTTTCCCTCAATCTTTGCAGAAGAAGAAAGGATGGATATTGAGACCTATACTTCCATGAGAGGCACACAAATCTAGGCAGTTCTCTAGGGAATTGAAACTACAATTGTTATAATATTATTAAGATTATTTAGGAAAAGCAGTTAGCAGCCAACCCACTGTGAGCCATTAAACAGGGTGTAATAGCAACTTGTCTTGTTGCTATGGCAAAACATTTGACAAAGGCGACTTAAGGAAGCAAGGCCTTACTGTTTGTTTGGCCTTATTGTTTTGAGGGTACACTCCATCATGACACCAAAGTACCAGAGGCAGGGTCAGGAGGCAGCTGGTTCTATTATGTCCACAGTCAAGAAGCAGAGACAGGTAAATGCTGGTGCTCAGCTTGCTGGCTCCTTACTCAGTCCAGGACCCCAACTCCGGGAATGGTGCCTCACAGTTAAGCTGGGTCTTACCAGTTAAATTAGCCTGATAGAGAAACTCCCTCACAGACCAAACCCAGAGGTTTGTCCCTTAGGTGATTCTGGATCTGATCAGTTGACAGTATGGGGCATCACACAGTGTTGTGGCATCCTGAATAGCACATGTTGTAAATGGGTAATATGATAGCCCTTTAATCAACAATGCAGCACTGGAAATGTATCCATAAGCCCACATTTTTAAAAGCAAATTTGATTGTAATGATTGTCACAGTATCTGATATCAGAAAATATCCAAGAAGCTGAAGCTATGCAGATTGCGATAGAACTCTTTAAAACTTGGTATCTTCAGGGGGTGGTGATGACTCAGCTGCACATCAGAGGCACTTTGGGAAGTTTTTAAGATACCGGTGCCTGGGTCAGCCACCTCCGCCTCACAGAGACCTACTCTTGAAAGCTCCTCCGTGATTCTAATGGCTTCTCTTGCTTAATTTTAAAGAGGAAATGCCTCGGCACAGAAGGCACTTTCTTTAGCTTCTGTTGCTATATTTTTCGGGCTTTTGTGTAACTTGAGATATGCAATAGTCACGGCTTTCCCTGGTCAGTTTCTGGCTGGCAGTCGTGCGTGTGACTGCAAGCTCCCATTCCTCCACAGCACATCATGCTTGTGCAGCGCCAGATGTCCGTGACAGAAGATGACCTGGAAGAGTTCCAGCTTGCTCTGAAACACTACGTGGAGAGCGCCTCAGCCCAAAGTGGGTGCCTGCGGTAAGTGCTCTCATTCAAGCCCCCACCCTGCACAGTGGTGAATGTGGGAGTCTGGGTGAGGGTGGAGGTGCCGGAGCACAGGCATTTCCAAATCCTCATCTTCAATTCTGCAGAGCAGTCCAGCCCTCTGGGTTATGGCATTTGCAGAGTTTAACAGGATATGTTCTGTTTGATCTTAGAACCAGAGTTGATTTAATCATTAGGCGTACCAAGGGAAATAAAGTGGACAGTCATCTGAACGAGAAGGGTTTCGAATAGATTGCAATCTCCGCTTTTGCACACAGGCTACGAGCACCCATTGAAAATCATCTGTGGAGACAAGGCTCCTACTCATGGGTGTCTGGCCTCCATTACCCTGTGGACTAATGACCATTTCCACTATTGTGAGGAGAACAGGGCTCTTCAAAATTAAGATTTTATGATTACTTCATTAAAGCAATGGCAATATCTCTTTCTTCCATTCCATGGCTTCCTCTCCACTGTTATGAAAAGACTAATAAAATATGCTACACCTCATCTGTAGTTTTTCATCACAACTGGTCCAATAAAACAGTACTAGAATAGTTGTCCACAAACAATGGTAGAATTCCTATCATGAGGACTCTGCAGTACCTCTCCAAGGAGTATCATGTCAAATGCTAGGTATTTGGCTGACTTGATGAGTATGCTGCCTTCAAACCCAGAAACCCACAGGCACAGCCATCTAGCAATAACCCAGCATTATCTGTTCCTTCTTACCATGCCTCAGATCTGACCAGGCTCTTCCATAAATATACATCCAGCCAGTCTCTCATGCTGTGCCAGAAGTCCACAGCACAGACCCAAACTTACCTGTGTTTAGAAAACTTCCATAACAATCTACCTCCACCTGCAAGCTTATTTCAACTGCATTCCCTAATGCTCTTTCAATGTTCAGGGAGTGTGTTTTAGCAGATGTGTGTTAGTGAGGTATGCATCTGTATGAGCACAAAAACACATACATTACATCTTTGTTTTGCCCTTCTGTCTGGTGGTTAATGGATTTTTATTTATGCTCAAGCCTACCATTCAGGTCTCTGAAGTAAATTAGGATTAAACTTGGGCTAAAGCTGGGATTGCATAGCTTTGTGTCTTAGGGATTCTCACTAGCTGTAAACCTCACTTTTCACCATCAAGAACCTTGTGGAGGCAGGCCTGCTCACACAGACCTGTGATCCCAGCTACTTGAGGCAGGAAGATAACTAGTCCATGGATTGTCTTAGTGATAGAATGAATTTAAGTCCAACCTGGCAATTTTAGTGAGACCTTGTCGCAAACATAGAAAGCATTAGGAATGTACCTCAGAAGTAGAATACTTGCCTAGCATGTATAAGGCCCTGGGTTCAATCCCTACACACACACACACACACACACACACACACACACACACACATTTCATGGATGTTTATGTGTGAACTGCCCAATATAGTATTTTCCATCCACTGAAGACTGTAAATCTGAGCTAGATTCACTAATTCCTTCTTCCTGACTGACCTTCCACCTCTGCAGTGTGAGCATCATTAACTCCTCTCAACCTCCCGGTGCAGCCTTTTGCAACAGACACTAGGAAATGTTGCACTTCTGTGACTGCTATTCTACTTTCTATCAGGATCAGAAGAGCACAAATAAAAGTATTTCACCCTTGGAAGAATTAGAGATTTGCCAAGACAGGAATATATGTAGTTTCTAAAAGCCCACTCATTTAAAAATAAAACTACTTGGAAAACTCAAAAGGAACCTATGCAGTTGCAGAACACTGAACTCAGTAAACTCTTTCTGAAATAGTAAGATAGGAGAAAAGTCTGTGCTGAATTCCTGGGGATTGGTTAGATGTTTTATACTTACTAAAAGGACACAAAAGTTCTTAAAGGTCTGAAACTGCTCTGGGTGCTGGAATTGCCCTGAGAGGAGGACCCTGCTGTGGGCAGGTCAGAGAGGGAGTAGTTTGTAACGCTTGCTGCAAACCATGCAGAATCAGGAAGAACTACCTCTGCCATGAGCAGAGGAAAGGACCACTTCCTGAAAGACAGACTCCCAGCCCTGCCTTTTCTTCCAAGCACTGCTGTGTCTCTTAGTGGTTCTTCATCCACTTGTTGATGATTCTTCAGCTATTTTTTTTTGCAGGAATTGTTAGAAAGTAGATTTTATCAAATGTAATGAGTATCAGAAAATGACCACACTGGTGGAACACCTTGTGGAAGAGACTTCTCCAGTCTAGATTCAATGTTTCAGATGAACCGGTCAATCAGTTCCAGTTCTCTACTCGTTGATGAATCATCAAATGCCACTCACGTCAGCAGCCATGATCCTGGGTACCCTCCACAGCTGCCTAGTGCTGAGCTGATGAAGCTTTATGAATTAGCAAAGGTTTAAGGTTTCTTTCCCATAATGCTTAGCTAAGCCTCCTCTTGCAGGACACAGAGTGCTGCCAAGGGTGATAACTTACAAGGTTAGCTATTTTCATCTATTTTCTTATCTAGTTTTGACCAGAATTGTTACAGGCATACATGACATCCAGTTTAGAAAAAAAAACAGACTCTGGTGTGTTAAAAGCTTGCCCAAGCTGCACTCAAAACCATGTGTCTAATCTTTGTCAGGATAATCATAGTTGAATTAAAGATTCCTGAACCTTTTGTGGCTAACTAGGAGTGGAATGCATACCCAAGATCCTTCTGTTTCAGTTATAACAGTAATAATCTTGTTAAATTCAGGCAACAAATTTAGAACATTTGCTCTTAGTATTCCCTAAGAAGTTTGGAAGTTTGGGGACTGACAGAGGTTTGGTTATAGTAGTCTATCAATGGTGCTTTAAAGACTTAGATTAGGGCTGACAAGATGGCTCAGGGGGTAAAGGTGCTTGCCACCCAGCCCAGTGATCTGAGTTCTACCCTTGGGTTCTACATGATGGGAAAAGAGAACTGACTTCCACAGCTTATCTGACCTCCACATACCCACCCTGGTGTACATGCTTATACACACACAAACACAGCAAATTGAGAGAGAGAGAGAGAGAGAGAGAGAGAGAGAGAGAGAGAGAGAGAGAGAGAGAGAGGTAGTTATATATATTATTTGGAGAAAAACTCAGATCATTCATGTAAGTGGATATATAATGACATAGTATTACATGCTGCTCACTTTCTCTGCAATTACAAATGCTCAATATCTTTTGTGAGAGTATCACCAGTTGAGTAAATGGCATTTACAATGTGCTCTTAGAATCAGCCTTGGTGTCAGACAGGAAATAGCTTCTGCCTTCAATGATTTTATGATTTAACTTTGGAAACAGGATCCTTACTCATGAAGGCAGAAAGCAACTCCAATCATCCTTGTCCTAAAATTCTAGTTTTTCAATAGAACTAAATGATCTCTGAGGCTACTCTCAGCTACAAAATTCTAGAAATATAATATGTTCATATTTCCAATGTCAAAGGCCTAGGAAACATGACTGTGGATTATATTGCAAAAATTACTCTTGAGACACCCTTAAGAATTAATGGAGTGCATTGAAACATTAATTATCAATATGTATGAATAAGATAAAATATGGTGGACAAACCTAGACCTCAGTGTAGAGAAATGTGGGGAGTATGTACCTCCTATTACATTTTTTCTTCATTGGTTTGGCCCTGTGGGTAAGGCAGGGCAGGCACTTGGAGAAGGAAGAAAGCCCAGAGTAAGAGAGAGTCCTCTACAGTCCTCATAGAACCATTCACAGAAGGAAAAACTGAGGTTGAGTATGGGCCAAAGGTGGCACACTTAATGAGTGGTAGTCCTGTTGGGACATTCTTTAGCCCACCATCTATCACACCATGATATCTTTAATCCTCTACCCCAGTCTTCAACAAGCTTGGGCATTGTGCTGACATGTGAATTCATTGGGAGGGCAATGCTGGAGATCAAATGCAAGATCTCCCACCTGCTACACAGTGCTCTTGTACCAATGAGTACATCTCCAGCGTGTGATTGCTGGAGGGATATCTTACCACTTAGCCAAAGCTGGTCTCAAACTCAAGACCCTCCTGCATCTCTCCTCCAAATGCTGCAATTACAGGTTTACAAGCCTTTCTGTGCTAGTCTAGAAAATGTAAGGTTCTCATCGTACAATAACTGGGCTTTTAAGATAATGAGTATTATTAATAACTAGTTTGCAGGAGCAATTAATGAGGGACCTGAAATACTAGGCTGGGTGTTTTAATCTTTACTCTAAAGAAAACATAGTTAAAATTTGCAATATATTTGAGCATTAGGGACACCTTCAAGACACTAAATAAGCTATAGATTCTCTTCCCAGGAAAAAGTACATGTGCACATTAATTTGCAGGTCACTTTGGAGGTTTATGGAAAAAGTCACAAAACTTACCCATGAACTCCTGGGGTAAGAAATACAAACTCCCTATTGTATTATTTTATATAGCAAATATTTATTCAGAAAAATCTTGAGTTAGTAATATTAGTACATCATGCATAATGAATAATTATATTTTTAAAAAATGTGAAAAATGCCATACTACAGAAATTAAAGGAACAAAATGTCCTGTATTCATGTTCCACACTGCCATGAGCAGGATCTTTTTTTTTTTAATATGTGGTTTACAGAATAAATACAAGTTAAAGAGCCTGCAGCAGAGTTTAGGAGGTGTCAGGAGTGGGCCAAGAGAGAGTCTGTTAAAGAACTGGGTTAGTGTCAACCCGGAAGGGCTTGCTGCTGGCATCAGGAAGTGAGCACAACAGTGTTGCCATTGTGAGTGAAAGACTGAGTAAGCGTCCAGAGCTGGAAATGGTGGGTTTAGGTCCAGGACCAGATGGGAGAGCAGGTGGATGGACAGGCAGTCACGTAGACATGTCAACAACAGGGAACCCAAACAAGCTGAAGCTCCAGGGACAGTCAGGGAGTTCTTCACTTGCCAGTCTGTGATGCACTCAACAGGTATTAGATAATAGGTTGGTGTGGAGCTGTACCATTGAAATATTACATCACTTTATGGGGTCCAGATGAAGGAGTTACACCCTTTTCTGGGTCTGATGTACCATCGAAGTATTATGTGTGCATCACTTTATGGGTCCAAATGAAGGAGTTACACCATTTCCTGAGTCTGATGTATCTAGCAACTTCTTGGGTCTGGTTTCCGTGATACGATTTTAATACATCCATGTGCCTCTACTGTTGCAACTCACTCACAATGAACCTACAGGGTGGCTCCATCCCAGGAAGAGGTCCTGCACCAGTTTGTGCTGGGTGGCAGTGCCTGACTGATGGTACAGCTTCTGGTCCACCCAGGGGGTACATTCCTCCTTTTCCCTCAAAATGGAATCAGAAGATACTTGTAAAATGGAGTCTTCTAGAGCAGTGTGCAGCCTTTTGACAAGCACAGTTATATGCAATATATGATAACTTGCAGTAAGGCATAACTTGACTTAACACAGCCAGCCAGGATGGGACCTAGGACACAGCTGCTCGGTGCCAGCACACCCGGCACAGTCTGTGGAGAGGTCTAAACCACGGTGCAGGAGGACATGGCTACTCGGTGCCTGCACACCCGGCACTGAACAAAACACTTTCTCTTTTTACATTCTGATGGGATAATGAGGATGATATTGGTGATAAAATAATTGCTAACATAGGTAATATTTATTGGGTACTTATGTGCAGAGATCTTTATTCTTTCTGTGTACTAGGCTACCACATTTCATTCTCATCAATAATTTGATAAACTGTAAACTTTACTTTTTATTTCCTTCACCTCATAGTTAAACATACTGAGAGGCAAGGAGATCCAGAGAAACTTTGAAGGCTTACAGAAAGGCCAGGGTTTTGTTTGTTTTATTTTGTGTTTTATTTTTTAATTTTTATTTTGTTTTTACGTAGAGTCTCAGAGTCTCTCTGTAGCTCAGGCTGACCTAAACATCCACTCTCAGCCTCATGAGAAGAATCTTTTAAAAACAAAAATATATTAAAATTCCTTTGGGTACTTACTGCCACCTGCTGGTCACAAATAGATAAATCCTAAATCTTCATTGATTATTTCACTGATCAATCCTTATTTTTTAAATCCTTCACTTTGCTTCCTAATTTAAATATACTACGAAACATTCGACTAAAAAGATATCCTTTAAGAACTCAGTTTTTGCATACACCGCGCTTTAGTCTCTTCTTACACAAGCTCATGAGCTTGTCCCTCTGCTCTTCTGATTTGGCTCTTGCTCATGTCTTCTACCACCTGCTCAGCTTTTCTCTGCGCGTTATATGACTGTCCTCTATTATGCTCCACACTGCTGTGAGCAGAATACTTTAAAACAAGATATTTTTAATAAATTTTGGCACAAAGAATGCTTAGTTAAACTTTTGAATGGGGCCTGGCGAGATGGCTCAGTGGTTAAGATCATTGACTGCTCTTCCAGAGGACCCAGGTTAGATTTCAAGTATGGTGGCTCCCAAGTGTAACCCCAGTTTCAGGGGAATATGATACTCTTTTCTGGCCTCCATGGGCACCAGACATGTAAGTGATGCACAGTCATACATACAAGCAAAACACAAAACAACACAAATAATAAATTAAGAACTTTTTTAATAAAAGTGTTCAAAGATAATATTAAACTGAAACTTATATGCCAAAATAGATACAGGGGGCTACTCAATTCTTGATAAATCCATTTGATAGTCTACCCAGCTTAAGTTACTTTGTTTCCTATACATATAGGTAACATGGTTGTATGCTACACACAGAGATTAGAAAATTTGGTTTGCTTTTGTCTGTGTGTGCACTGTGAGTGGTCATGGATATGTGTGTCAACATACGTGTGTGCGCACAGGTACAGATGGAGGCTGGAGGCTGTTAGGAGTGTGCCCTCACTGCTCTCCACATTATTCATTAAGGTAAACTTAGGCAGCTCGCAATGAGGATCGTGCAGCTTGTCTTTTATGCCTTGCCTCCTGAGCCATCTCCCCCACCCCTCCGCTGCTTCTTTAACTTCCAGGGCCCAATCATGCCTCTTCTATTTCAGCATCTCTATACAGAAGCTTTCAAATGAATCTCGCTACATGATTTATGAATTCTGGGAGAACAGCAGTGTGTGGAATCGGTAAGTTGTAAGGAAAAATGACTTGTGTTAAATGTGGGGTGTGTGGCGATGTACGTGTGAAACTTTTAGACTGTTGGGAAAGTTGTATTTTTGCTTATTTTTGTGGTGCTAGAGATTGAACCAAGACTTTGAGCATGCTAGATAAGCATTCTGTCACTGATACATCCCAGCTTCCTTTTAAGTTTATGCTTTGAAACCAGGATGCATAAGTTGTTCAGGATGGTCTTGCACTTACTCTGTAGCCCAGTCTGGCCTTGAATTTGAAATGCTTTTGCTTCAGCCCCAAGTATCTAGGATTCCAGACCTACACTACCAGATCTGAGGTGCTTACCTCATCTTAAAACTTGCCTTCCCTGTTACACTGAATCCTATGCTCTTTGGAATTTGTTTCATAGCTTTGGATAACAATCTCACTTTAAGTTTTTTGGATTTTACTAATGTTCTTGGTGAAGTGGAATTAGTCATGGGCATCTCAGGAAGAAGTGATGAGGGCTTGAAGCTTCATAAACTATAAGCTCTGTGGACATCATTTTGGTTTTTTTTTTAATTTAAAACTATACACAGTGGCTAATACAATTTTTTAAAATGTCCTTAAACATTACAAATAAAGGAATAAAAGACATTGGAAAAACTTACAAATCAACTTTGAAAGTAAAAATGATGACTAACAAATATACAATTTAAAAATATGTGATGAAGGAATGTTTTGTTCTTCTATCTCATAAACAGTTCCTGATGGTTTTAAGTAGTACAGAATGATACAGCTCTCCAATAATCAGTGTTTTAGGGTGCTAAATATGGAAATAAAAGAAAATGCTGGGAAATTCAACTGATTCATATTTTACCTTACATTTCTTTTGTGTGTGGCTTCAAGGAGCAGTCTTGGGATGTAACTCAATGGTAGAGTGTTGATGCCCAGTAATAAATAATTGAAGCATTCTGTACTATAATGAAGACATAATGACAACAATATTTTTTCAGGCAGAGTCCTGGAGGGCAACTTAGCTCCAAGCATTTATTCTCTGCTGATATTAGATACCCTGCACTTTAAACATGCAGGTATTAGAATGCTTTCATTTGCACATTTCTCCCAAATTTTAGCCTGCCTTTTGTTGTTGCATGTTTTATATGCTTATCTTAAATGCCCTTTCTTCTCAATTTCTGATAACAATTATTGCTCGTCAGGTTCTCTCCAAGTTAAGTAAGCATCAAGAGCAGACTGTATCTGGCCATTTAGCTCAAGCTACCCCAAATCTCGACATCTTAGTTGAATTTGATCTCTGCTGTACTCTACTTAGGAAGGCTTTAAACAAAAATGCACACCTTTAACCTACAATCATTTCACAGCCACCTTCAGACAAACTACAGCAAGACCTTCCAAAGAAGCAACGTGGATTTCTTGGAGACTCCAGAGCTCACATCTACTATGCTAGTTCCTGGTAACTACCCTGGAGCATGCTCCACACTTCTATGTGCTTCTCTACTGCCTTTTTTTTTTTAAGAGAACATGATCTTCCACACTTTGTCAATGGTGCTTTCTTTACTGTTCCTTTATTTAAAATTTAGGGAGGGGGAAGAAACATTTGTCTTTTGTCCTTAATGACTATCTGTTTCTAGCTGTATTAAGAAACATCTGTCTTTTGTCCTTAATGACTATCTGTTTCTAGCTGTATTAAGCCTAGTACTGATAGCCGTTTGGTCGCCACAATTTTAGGTGGTGACCATATACTTCAACAGTTATTTAAATGGTTTACTATATTACAACTAGTATGCTCAACTAGTATGCTCAACTAGTATGCTCAACTAGTATGCTGAATGCAATTTAAAATAAGTAATCATAGGATAGATTTTAGAATGTTAGAAAAGTTCCTTATGATTTTTATAACTGGGAGAAAAAAGATTAGGAGGAGAGAAATTTGGAATGAAATTGCCTAAGAAGGCTGAACGAAGCTTAAGATCACTGAGAAAATTCTCTTGCTGTCTACTGTTCCACTCAGTTGCTAACTGTGCATATATTTACCAGGTAATAGCGTGCTTGGTCCGGGAGTTCCTAAGGTGCTTAGCTGATTTATTGGCACCGATTGGGATCCTGTTCTGACCAAGCATTTTGTTAAGAGCTGATGTACAAAGTAAAAGCAAAATCTCTAAGGGTAAAGTGCTGTCTATGCAGTATGACAAAAAAAAAATGTTTACAAAGGTCATACATTTACATAAAAACAAAACACAGCTCAAGGCACAAAACAGTAGTTGTCACCAGAGGCAATACATGCTTTGTAGACTTAAAGAAGTTCTCTTACTCAACTTTAAGGTGGAGAATATCTTAATTAGTCATATGAACAATGCTTTAGAGGCCTTGAAGACTGTTTAAATGGATGACATCATGAGCCACTCAGTCATATCTGACCGGATGGACAAAGTAGTCATCATGGAGTGGAGACTAACCAAGCAGGACAGTGACCAGAGGATAAAAAACCTACACCAAGAGCCTTCTGGGATTCCAGCTGCAGACACAGTGAGATCAATTCTGAGTGAGGACAAGAGCAGATAAGAACAAAACATCTGAGAGAGGCCCAGGAAATGTCTTTCTGTAACAGATACGCAGAGGAAGAAGGGGTACTTTATTAAGGAGAACAAGGGGCGCCATCCCAGGGAGAACCAGAACAGGTCCGATAGCATCAGAGTGGAAATGCAAGGATACCATGCTCCTTGGGGCATTCAGGGTGAAGTGATTGAAAAATGGCACAGGAAATTGGATTTGACAAGGTCACCACTGAAGAGAAGAGTCTTAGTGGAGTGGTAGGGATCTGATATATTGAGGAACAGATGGAGACCAGGCAATGAATTCTGGAACCGCAGCTGGTTGAGGAGCCAGGAGCCGGGTGGGAGAGCCCTCAATGTAGCCGATCCTCACAGTCTAAGGCAGAGCTTTGGTGTGCCAGGAGAGCCTCTGGGGGACACACATGTACAGACTCTCTCACAGTATAGCTGGTTTAATCCTCAAACACACACACACACACACACACACACACACACACACACACACACACACACACACACACGCACGCACACGGTGGAGTTCCTCAGGCTTTGCACTTTGACTCAGTTTGTATTTCGAGGTGCCATAGTGGGGGAAGAGCAGGAAAGTGTGGTGACAGTGAAGGAAGAGACTGAGGCAGCCACCTTCTGTGTGTCTAGTAAAGGTTTAGCCTCACGCTTATAGCAAGCTTGAACTTCCTATTTTAAATAGCTTCAGCCTATGATACAAATCAATGATGTAAATATGACTGACTACTGCCTTTGTTGATAGAATGAAGGGAAGCAGGGCTAGCACTTATCTGCTCATCTTTTTCTTTAAGGCTCCACTGCTACTGTATGACCCAAAACAGTAGAACTGTTCTAAGAGAAGGAATGAAGACTTCCATATCACAAATGTACTGGTATTGGACATTCAAATCTCCAAGACCTGATATTCATATTTTTGTGTTTACCTTCAGATCCATTTTCAAATCTCCCAAAACCCCATTGGTTCAAAAGGGTGAAAGCATTGTTTGTTCTCATTGGGGTCTTGAGTCTATCCAGGTCAGAAAACATGGAGGCAAAAACAGAGTAGAAGAATAATACAGAAAGGAGTTCATGAGTGAACAAGAAGCGGAGGGGGGGGTGTTATTGTAAGCATTGCAAATACAAAGTAACCTAAAGTTTTCTGATCCAGCCTCACCAGGATTTTGAATGAACTTTTGATGTCATGAACTATTTCATCACTGATACATGCATTACTCCACTCCACGGTCTCTCAGTGTTCCCTAAGTTACAGAGAAAAATTGGGCACAAGTAAAACTGGATCAACTCTCATCCTTGAAGGCTGAACTTCATGCAATTTAAGTTCTGTCCAGATTTGCATTAATTTCCACATCACACCTAATCTCAACAATGATAAATGGAACCCAACAGAATATAAAGAAAAGCTTCTAACACAAATTAAAACCTATCTTAAACAAAATTTCACCATCCATTGGAGCATCCCAACCTATTTTAAAGTTTTCTAGGAGTGACTGCAGGAAGACAACCCTGAACAGAAATCTGGAATTTAGACAATATGTATAGTTTTAGCAGCCATACCACTTCTTTTTTTTTAACTTTTCTTGTTTTTTTATTTGCTGCATCTTCATATTTTTCCTTTTTTTATTATAAAGAAATTTTCTGTTCATTTTACATACCAACCACAGATCCCCCTCTCCCTGCCCCCAACCTTTCTCCCAAACCTTCCCCCCATCCCCACCTCCTCCAAGTCAAGGTTTCCCATGAACCTGATACATTCAGTTGAGGCAGGTCCAAGCCCCTCCCCTCTACACCAAGGCTGCATAAGGTGTCACACCTTAGGCACTAGGCTCCAAAAAGTCAGCTCATGCACCAGGGATGGATTCCGATCCTCTTGCCTGGGGGCCCCCCCAACCAGTTCAAGCTAAACAACTGTCTCATATATCCAGAGGGCCTAGTCCAGTCCCATGGGGGCTCCACAGGTATTGGTCCACAATTCATGGGTTTCCACTAGTTTGGCTGGCCATCTTCGTACATTTTCCCATTATAATCTCGATGTCCCTTGCTTATAGAATCTCTCCTCTTTCTCATCAATTGGACTCCTGGAGCTTGGCCTGGCACCTGGACATGGATCTCTGCATTTGCTTCCATCAGTCACTAGATGAAGGTTCTATGATAACAGTTAGGGTATTCACTAATCTGGTTACCAGAGTAGACCAGTTCAGGCACCCTTTCGACTATTTTTATTAGACTAAGGTGGAGTCATCCTTGTGGATTCCTGGTAACTTCCCTAGCACTCTGTTTCTCCCTATTCCCATGATGTCTTCATTTATCATGGTATCTCTTTCCTCACTCTTCCACTCTGTCCCTGTTCCACCTCGAACCTCCCATTTCCTTATGTTCTCATCCCCCATTCCTTGCCCTTCATTACCTCCCACCCCCAGTTTGCTCATGTAGATCTCATCTATTTCTCCTTCACTGGGCTATCTATGTGTCCCTCTTAGGGTCCTCCTTGTTAGCTACCTTCTCTGGAGTTGTGGGTTGTAGTCTGGTTATCCTTTGCTTTACATCTAGTATTCACTTATGAGTAAGTACATATCATGTTTGTTTTTCTGAGTTTGGGTTACCTCACTCAGGATGATATTTTCTAGTTCCATCCATTTGCCTGCAAATTTCATGATGTCATTGTTTTTATACTGCTGAGTAGTACTCCATTGTGTATATGTGCCACATTTTCTTTATCCATTCTCCAGTTAAGGGGAATCTAGGTTGTTTCCAGGTTCTGGTTACGATGAATAATGCTGCTATGAACATAGTTGAGCATATGTCCTTGTGGTATGATTGAGCATTCCTTGGGTATATGCCCAAGAGTGGTATAGCTGGGTCTTGAGGAAGATTGATTCCCAATTTTCTGAGAAACCACCATACTGATTTCCAAATTAGCTGTACAAGTTTACACTCCCAGTAGCAATGGAGGAGTGTTCCCCTTGCTCCACATCCTCTCCATCATAAGCTGTCCTCAGTGTTTTTGATCATAGCCATTCTGACAGGTGTAAGATGGTATCTCAGAGTTGTTTTGATTTGCATTTCCCTGATGACTAAGGATGTTGAGAAATTCCTTAAATGCCTTTCAACCATTTGAGATTCTTCTGTTGAGAATTCTCTGTTTAGATCTGTAGCCTATTTTTTCATTGGATTGTTTGGTGTTTTGATATCTAGTTTCTTGAATTCTTTATATATTTTGGAGATCAGTCCTCTGTCAGATGTGGGGTTGGTGAAGATCTTTTTCCATTCTGCAGGCTGTCATTTTGTCTTATTGACTGTGTCCTTTGCCCTACAAAAGCTTCTCAGTTTCAGGAGGTCCCATTTATTAATTGTTGCTCTCAGTGTCTGTGCTACTGATGTTGTTATATATAGGAAGCAGTTCCTGTGCCAATGCATTCAAGACTACTTCCCACTTTCTCTTCTATCAAGTTCAGTATAACTGGATTTATGTTGAGGTTTTTGATCTACTTAGAGTTGAGTTTTGTGCATGGCAACAGATATGGGTCTAGTTGCAATCTTCTACATGTTGACATCCAATTATGCCAGCACCATTTGTTGAAGATGCTTTCTTTTTTCCATGGTACAGTTTTGGCTTCTTTGTCAAAAATCAGGTTTTCATAGGTGTGCAAATTAATGTCAGGGTCTTCAATTGGATTCCATTGGTCCACATATTGGTTTTTATGTCAGTACCGAGCTGTTTTTATTACTATAGCTCTATAGTAGAGCTTTAAATCAGGGATCGTGATGCCTCCAGAGGTTGCTGTATTATACAGGATTCTTGTAGCTATCCTGGGCTTTTTGTTTTTCCATATGAAGTTAAGTATTCTTTTTTCCAAGTCTGTGAAAAATTGTGTTGGGATTTTAGTGGGGATTGCATTGAATCTGTAGATTGCTTTTGGTAAGATTGTCATTTTTACTATGTGAATCCTGCCTATCCATGAGCATGGGAGATCTTTCCATTTTTAAAAAATATATACCTTTATTTTATAATTAACTTAATTTCACATATCAGCCAGGGATTCCCCCAGCCCTCCCCACAATCCACCCCCCATTCCCACCTCCTCCAAGGCAAGGTCTCTCCTGAGGAGTCAGCCCAGCCTAGTAGACTCAGCCGAGGCAGTTCCAGTGCCCTCTTCCCTATACCAAGGCTGAGCAAAGTATCCCAGCATAGGCCCCAGGCTCCAAAAAGCCAGCCCATGCACCAAGGACAGGTCCTGGCTCCACTGCCTGGGGGCCTCCCAAATAGTTCAAGATAATCAACTGTCCCACTTATCCAGAGGGCCTGGTCCAGTTCCATGGGGGCTCCTCAGCCGTTGGTTCACAGTTCATGTGTTTCCACTAGTTTGGCTATTTGTCCCTATACTTTTTCCAATCATGGTCTCAGTATCTCTCGCTCATACAATCCCTCCTCTCTCGCGCCGATTGGGCTCCCGGAGCTCCACCTGTGGCTCAGCCGTGGATCTCTGCATCTGCTTCCATTTTTTAAGTGGATGTTTTAATATTCCAGATCTGTTCATAAAATATTTTAGGATGTTAACAATATGCTATTACAGTATCTCATAGTGTAAATATCATTTGGTCATTCACAATGCAACCCACAGTATTTCTCAAAGAAATGCAATAAGCAAGCTGGTCACTGATTCTGACTTTGTAACTCAGAATTTCTTCAAAAAGCATTTCTGGGGTATCTCTTTCTTTTTCTGTAACCATTCATAGCAATGACACTTAGCTTTCCAGTTTATTTCATGATGGAAGTTTTATATAGGTTGCAAACTCTTTCTCTTGAATTCCACTCTGAAGCTGATACAAATGCTGTAACGTGATCTGGTTTTACAAAGAGTTCTGGGAGTCCAGAATGAGTATGATGAGGGATCCTTAGAAACAGAACAAGTGGGTGGATCCTCAGATCAAGATGAGGAGTGGAGTTGAATCTAGAGCCACCTAAGCTAAAGGAAGAATAGCTAGGAGTAAGATTTGTAACACGAATTGCTAGACAGTATTATTAATAAAAACCCAGAGCCAGATATTGGGGTAAAAAACTGAGAGATCAAAAGAATAGGAAAAGCCACAGTCAACCTCACCTTACACATGTCTCAGGCTCTAAAGAGACTACTTCCTATATACCCACTCCTATATGTGTTTCTGTTCTGCCATCTCATTTCCTCTCTTTGCCCAGTTACATCACTTCCTGTCTGTACAGACCTCCAGACTTTAAGGTTAGTGCTGGGATTAAAGGCATATGTGATTTAAGCTTTAGTAATGTTTCTTTTACAAATATGGGTGCCCTTGTATTTGGGGCATGAATGTTCAGAATTGAGACTTCATCTTGGTAGATTTTTCCCTGTGATAAACATGTAATGTCCTTCCCAATCTCTTTTGATTGATTTTAGTTTGAAGTCTATTTTATTAGAAATTAGGATAGCTACACCAGCTTGCTTCGTAAGTCCATTTGATTGGACAGTCTTTTCCCAGCCTTTTACTCCAAGGTAGTGTGTGTCTTTGAAGTTGAGGTGTGTTTCTTGTATGCAGCAGATGGATGGATCCTGTTTTTGTATCCATTTTGTTAGCCTGTGTCTTTTTATAGGCGAATTGAGACCAATGATATTAATGGATATTAATGACCAGTGATTGTTAATTCCTGTTACTTTTTGGTGGTAGTGTTGTGTGTTTCCCTTCTTTGGTATTTGTTGGTGTGAGATTATCTATTGCCTGTGTGTTCATGGGTGTATCTAACTTCCTTAGGTTGGCTTTTTCCTTCTAGTGCTTTCTGTAGGGCTGATTTGTGGATAGGTATTGTTTAAATCTGGTTTTATCATGGAATATTTTGTTTACTCCATCTATGGTGATTGAGAGTTTTGCTGGGTATAATAGTCTGGGTTAGCATCTATGGTCTCAGTGTCTGCATAACATCTGTCCAGGAACTTCTGGCTTTTAGAGTCTCCATTGAGAAGTCAGCTATTATTCTTATGGGTCTGCCTTTATATATTACTTGGCCTTTTTCCTTTTCAGCTCTTAATATTTTTTTTTTTATTCTGTATGTTTAGTGGTCTATTATGTGGCAAGGGGATTTTTTTTTGATCCAGTCTATTTGGTGTTCTGTAAGCTTCTTGTATTTTCATAAGCATTTCCTTCTTTAGGTTGGGAAAGTTTTCTTTTATGATTTTGTTAAATATATTTTCTGTGCCTTTGAGTTGGTATTCTTCTCCTTCTTTTATCCCTATTGTTCTTAGGTTTGGTCTTTTCATGGTGTTCCAAATTTTCTGGACGTTTTGTGTTATGACTGTTGGCTTTAGTGTTTTCTATGACTAATGAATCTATTTCCTCTATCATATTGTCAGTGCCAGAGATTTTTCTCTTTCATCACTTGCATTCTATTGGTTATGTAGTTCCTGTTCATTTACTCAGATTTTCCATTTCCAGCATTCCCTCAGTTTGTCTTCTTTATTGTCTTGATTTCAGTTTTCAAATCTTGAACTGTTTCCTTCATCTGTTTGCTTTTTCTTGGCTTTCTTTAAGGGATTTATTGATTTCTTCCAATTTTTTGTTTGTCTTTTCCTCGGTTTCTTTGAGGGAATTTTTCATTTCCTCTTTAAAGACCTCTATCATCATCTTAAGTCATTTTTAAGGCCAATTTCTTCTGTTTCTTTGCATTGGGATGTTCAGGTCTTGCTGATGTGAAACCACTAGGTTCTGATAGTGCCATATTGATCTTTATGTTGTTGACTGTATTTTTTTATGTTATGTTTTTTTATTTAATTTTTTATTTTTATTTTGCAATACAATTCAGTTCTACATATCAGCCACGGATTCCCTTGTTCTCCCCCCTCCCACCCCCCCTCACCTTCCCCCCAGCCCACCCCCCATTCCCACCTCCTCCAGGGCAAATCCTTCCCCGCGGACTGAGATCAACCTGATAGACTCAGTCCAGGTAGCTGTATTTTTGCATTGACATCTACCCATCTCTTTCTCTACTCAGTGCAAGCTCCCTGTGTCTGAGGGAGCCTCTCTTGGTCCGATCAATACTCTTAGTCCAATAGGAGCTCTTGGTCTAATCAGGGCTCTTAGTCCAATTGGCATTGGTGGGCTCTGTCTCAGGGAGTAGCTGAAGTCTTGGAGGGTTGGTGGGTTTGGGAGGGGTGGGGTTTGTGGGTTACAGGGTCTGGTGAGGGATGGTGGTAGCCTGACCTGTCTGCAGGAGACCTGCCTACTGGCCTGAAACTGGGACTGCAAAGGGTGGTGGTGTGGGGGCACAAGGTTATGCCCCTGGGCCCAAAGCCTAGAGGCTAGGGTGTTAATCTATGAGGACAAAGACTCACTTCTCAGTCCAGTTGGTGCTCCATACCACTTCTAATACTAATTTTAATGACCAGTTTTGTGCATTTTGTATGGTATACCACAATGAAGGTTAGAAATGACAACAAAACCATAGTCACTGCACAAACTTAAGTCTAAACACTGAAGGCAGTACCTGTGGTATTTAGAAACAGAGAAGACACATCTCAAGTAAGCTGAACACCATTCGACATAAGTACACACCAAAGTATATCCCTATAAGCTATTAAATACAAGTGTCAAATGAAGCATCCTAGAATACAGCGATGCAGGTCCACTAACCATCATAAACCACACAGACAACAGGAATTAAGTGCTCAGTTCAGGAGCCAGAATGTCCTTACCATAAAGGGAAGAAGTACACAGGAAAGTAAGGTCTGTGTGCAAGCAAGCCAACAGCTTTATTTTTTTTTTTTTTTTTTTTTTTTTTTTTTTTTTTTTTTTTTTTTTTTTTTTTTTTTGGTTTTTCGAGACAGGGTTTCTCTGTGTAGCTTTGCGCCTTTCCTGGAACTCACTCGGTAGTCCAGGCTGGCCTCGAACTCACAGAGATCCGCCTGGCTCTGCCTCCCGAGTGCTGGGATTAAAGGCGTGCGCCACCACCGCCCGGCTAGCCAACAGCTTTAAAACAAAGCTTTCTCCCTTCCATCTGCCTCTTACCACACCATGCCAACAACCATACTTCTTTGCCATAGGTTATGTTTAGGTGTTTATATTCATTGGGGAACACATTTCTAGTGCTGAAATTTAAAAATATTAAAAATATTGTTTATAATACATCTATTTGTTTAGACTCAAACTTCCTGAAGCATGTATGTAGAGTACCGCATGTTATTTCCTAACAAGTGCTACTATTGGGTAGATTGCAACAACATGACTCACCATCAGGGTGTTGATAATCTTGCTGTAACAAATGTTATTCATATATAACAAAACATCTTAGCCAACAAAGTACAAAAACTACAGTATAACTACACGGGAATAAATCAATATCCCAAAGAGTCTAGAATTGAAAACTAGAAAAGCAGTTATGCATACTGAAGACGAAGGGAATGAACTCTTTTCAGTTTAGACTTTCTCTGCCCTAAAAACACATATTTTAATTATTGTTTTTCTTCTTTCAGCTTCATGGTGGATCCTGAACAACAATTAGATGTCCCTACACATTGTCTTCATTGTTCCAAGTACAAGCGTTGTTATCTAAAATTCAAACTGGAAAGTTCTCTGTGGTTGTCAATTGGCTGCACACTTTTGTTCAAGGTGTTTACTATAAGTATACTATTCTGAAGTGTGTTCTGTAACTATTTTCAAAGTTTATTGTTACTCTTGATAATTGATGCTAATTGATTTGCTACATTGTAATCAAAATTATAACAAAATCCTAATATATAAAAATGGTATATAAATTAAGTAATGAAATTGTGAGAATTAAGACAAAAAAAAAAGCTAAGTGAGAACTTCTAGAGCATTGTATCATAGGCCAGGGTTTGCAAACTGGCATATGCTCTAAAGAATCACATCCATGCTTTGTGACTTTTTCATTAACACATTCTTCTTCAATAAGGTCCACATGCTCATCACGTGGTCCTCCAACTATTCTCTTTATAATTCCTTTAACATTAACATAAATGCACTCAACAACCTTGGCTGTAGCCTGTAGACGCTCTGTCCGTGAGTCATGTTGTAAAGTGGCTGTAGCCTGTAGACGCTCTGTCCATGTGTCATGTTGTAAAGTGGCTGTAGCCTGTAGACGCTCTGTCCGTGAGTCATGTTGTAAAGTGGTATTTTGCAAGTGAACACTCTGTAGTAACTTAGAGCATTTACTAATGTGATACCTTTGCTTGTATGACTCTCATATATAAGTTAAACATTATTGAGCAAACATTGGAGAAATTAAAGTTTATGGCAGATGGCTTTGATATATGATCCAAATAGCTAACTATTTTTATGAAAAATGGACACTTGCATTTAAATGAATATTTTCAAATTCAGTACTTTAAGTCTAAAATTTCAACTCAACTGAATAAAGAAATTTAAAATAAGCACAAAACTTTAGTACTGAATATACCTATTTTATATACTTCTCTAAGATAACAACTACACAGCTTATCTACTCAAGAATTCTATAACTCTTGTTATAGACTCTGCTATGAAAATACACATGGAACTATTACCATGTTATTCTCTCATACAAATGCCTTTGAAACTCTGTGTCTTAAGGGAAAAAGACATGCAAAATACTATGGTATTTTTAACAGTTGGAAAACTTAAGTAAAGACAAGGCTTGAATGAAAGTTTCATTTCATAAATATGAGACTCAATCTGGAATATTATCTCAAATAATTTATGGGACATTGATTTATTGAATGCTTTTGTATAATTTCAGTACTTAACAATCTATGTAAATTTTCATAGTTTCTGTTAGACCAAATGAGCAAATTTCTATACACACGCACGCACACACACACACACACACACACACACACACACACACACACACACACTGCATATGTATATTCCTCAAGCACTATGAAACAATGCCTGGCTCAACACTTTTGGTATAGATATGCAAGGCAAAAACATTAATGGAGTTTTTTATGCAATGATTGTTGAGACAAAAATTATACATTTGTGTGAAAGGCAAAGAGACAGCAGGGGAGTTTTTGTGGTCTCACTGTGATTACACACTGTAAAGTTCTGAAACCCAGGGGTCTTTCAACATACAAATGCTTCTTGGAAATGCTGGTTATAAATGATTTCAAAATACAAATTACAACCAAACCAAACATTGTCTTAGCTGGCCCACTTTATATTCAACCCCAAAATCCTACCAAGTGTATTGCATATAAGGTAGTTCCCAAAGTGGCATAGTAGTATAACTGAAGAGGGTCTGCCCAGCAACAGAGTTTGGAGAAAGGCCCTCTGCTTACAAATTGGAATGAATTTTGTAAATATATTAAACTAGAATCAAAAGGACTTGAGAAAAAAGCAAATAATTAACCAATTTAACTCTATGGTAAATCTTAGCTACTATTTATGTGTTTTTAAGTATGTGTATGTGTATATGAATATGTATGGAAACACATGCATACAGACACTGGATCCCAAGACAAAAGGAAACAATAGGAGGCAACACACCCACTATTCCATAGTATAAATATCTCATTTTCAAACAAACAATGCATTTATGCTAAATGAACAGGAGTCTTTTTTTTTCTACTGAAAAACAATTCTTTCTCTGAGGAGCAAAGCAATGCAAAAGAAGCTACTAAAAGAGCCAGCTGGGAAATCTACTGCGGCAGAGGTGCTGGCTTTAGTACTTCACACTCAGGAGAAACAAGGTTTCTGTGGCTAGTGACCTCGAGTGACTTCCCAGTGGCCCCAAACACAAGTGTGAAGGACTGGGTTTGTGCTTACCTTTCTGTCTGCAGTATTCCTGAAACTTAGTGCACTAAATTCCTAGGAATTAAAAGTTTATGCATCAAAATTCTTCATCCATATATATTCTTATTATGAGAAATTACAGAATTGAAACTTAATGTACCTCAATTATTTGCAAATTCCTGCATTTGTCCTCCTTTAGAAGCAATCTCAATTTTATTTTCCAACTGCTTGACTCTTAATCATATAATCTTATGAGTGCCATTAAGTATCAGCTGCTTTTCAACTTCAGTTTCATTAACTATCATTGTTTTCAAAATGTTTATCTCTACTAGTAGTTATGGATCTAAGACCATGTTATTAAGAACATATAGAACAATCAATCATATATTTGAAATGTCTATCAGAAAGTCTCCTCCCCTCTTCCACCCCCATTGATAACTGCTTTGAACACCCTGAATCATTCTGAGCCTCTGGAGACATCCTAATGACCTGTTCAGGGCTGGTATGAAATCAGTGGGGAAAAAGGGACATTGACTTTACAGGGAACAAAAATTATGTACCACATATACATCATAGCAAATACTTTATATTTGAGAATCTTTACAGCTTACATTTCCATTCCATTATTACAAGTGATGAAAAACAAGAATTGCAAGTAGCATGCAAATTATAATACAGTCTTCCCACTTCGCCAACAACATCCCCACTTTTGAGTGTTACTTTCCAATTTTTGCAGGAACTGCCTGCAAAGCTGAAACTGATTAGAAAAATTCTTTATAGTTTAAAATATCTCTTTCTCATTTTATGAGAAGCCAAATAGCCAACCATCAAAAGTAAAAATAAATTGAATCGTCACAGTCCATTAGTTATTGTTACTAGGTCCACTTCATTTGCAGGTGTCCAAAATATAAAATGAATAATTCTTTATCTTCAAATTCATCTGTTCTTAAAATGCTACTTATAACTTTGGTTGTTTTCCTGTAATATAGAAGAAAGATAATGTATCAATTAGACTAACTGAAAACAGTTCTCACAAATTAGCTTATTCAATCAAATACTATGAATCTACTTCTATGTAAATGCATGTTACTATAGAAACAAAGTAACTGGAACTATCAAATACATTTGTGTTTCAATAAACTTATGTAATCCATTTTTAAATATGGTAAATTGTACTCTAAGTCTGTTGTTCTGTTCCTGTGGTACCTAGTTTTATAAATGCTGTTAATGCATAAAACAAAAGTAAGCAATTCTAATGTATATTTATCCAAAATAAGTTTGTCAAGCTTTTATTAACAAAATAAAGTGTTAATAAATTATTTAAGCCTGGAAATAAAGACTGATTTGTTTTATGAATTTATATTTATTCTTACAGACCAAGAAATTATATGTTCCCTTAATCTTCAAACAGGTGAGAAAATCAAGTATTTGAAACCTTCACCATATATTCCTTTCTTAAGAGTATTATTTAAAAATTTGGGCTGGAGAGATGGCTCAGAGGTTAAGAGCACTGACTGCTCTTCCAGAGGTCCTGAGTTCAATTCCCAGCAACCACATGGTGGCTCACAACCATCTGTAATGAGATCTGGTGCCCTCTTCTGACCTGCAGTCATACATACTGTATACATAATAAATAAATAAATCTTTAAAAAAAAAAAAAAAATTTATTTCCTAGCTGGGCAATGGTGGCGCACATCTTTAGTCCCAGCACTCAGGAGGCAGAGGCAGGTGGATCTCTGTGACTCTGAGTTCAAGGCCAGCCTGTTTACAGAGTGAGTTCCAGGACAGCCAAGACTGTTTCACAAAGAAACCCTGTCTCGAAAAATAAAAATTAAAAAAAAAATTTTTTAAAAAAAGCAGTCTATCCTTTGGGCTGGAGAGATGGATCAGAGGTTAAGAGCCCTGGCTGCTCTTCTAGAGGTCCTGAGTTCAATTCCCAGCAACCACATGGTGGCTCACAACCATCTATAATGAGATCTGGTGCCCTCTTCTGGCCTGCATGCATACATGCAGACAGAACACTGTATATATAATAAATAAATAATTCTTTAAAAAAATGTATTTCCTGATTTAATTCGAAAAAAATGGCTAATGAGCTAGTGAGATGACTAAGTGGATAAAGGTGCTTGCTGCTAATCCTGATGATCTGAGTTCGATCCCCAGGACCTATATGTGGGAAGAACAGTGACTCCTGCAAAGTTATTTTCTGACTCTATGCTTGTTCAGTGTCAGGCATACACACACATGCACACTATAGATCAAATAAAAATGTGATAAAAGTGTTTAACTGGCTGGAGGCACCTAAGCTGTTAGGGAGTTTCAATTATAGAATATTGATAGAAACAATGAATATAAAATATTTTAACTTATAGCCAAGGAAATATATTTATTTACAGTGGGGTTTGTATGTGTGTGCCAACAGAAGCACAGATACATATGCACAGAGGCTAAATGGGGATGTGAAGTGTCTTGCTCTATGACTTTGCCTTATTCTCTTGAGATATGGTGTTATCACTGAACTTGGAACTCAGCTGACAGTCAGCAACCCCCTATTTCCATATGCATCCACACCCAGCTTTTTATATGGGTTCTGGGGGTTCAAATTCAGGTCTCTATGACTGTGCACCAAGTGCTCCTGTCCAATGAACCATCATCCCAGCCTCAGGACTGTGGAAATAGGATGAATTTTCAAGACATAAAATTCCAAAAAGAGGAAAAGGAGAAAGTATTCTATACCCCATAGTAGAGCTTTTCCAGGCAAACTTACAATGCTGAGTCTCATCTTAAAATTATAATAAGACAACTAAAGGAGATCAAGAAGATACAAATTGGAAAGGAAGAAGTCCAAGTGTCACTATTTGCTGATGGCATGATAGTATTCTTAAGTGACCCCAAAAATTCTACCAGGGAACTCCTACAGCTGATAAACACCTTTAGTGAAAGAACTGGATACAAGATTAATTTTTTAAAAAAATCATTAGCCCTCCTACATACAAATGACCAACAGGCTGAGAAAGAAATCATGGAAACAACACCCTTCACAAAAGCCACAAATAATATAAAATATCTTGGGGTAACTACCCAAGGAAGTGAAAGACTTATACAACAAAAACTTGAAGTCTTTGAAGAAAGAAATTGAAGAAGATATCAGAAGATAGACAGATCTCCCATGTTCATGGATTTACGGTAGGATTAACATAGCAAAAATGGCCATCTTACCAAAAGCAGTCTATAGATTCAATGAGAACTCCATCAAAATTTCAACACAATTCTTTACAGACCTCAAAAGGACTACATTCAACTTCATATGGAAAAACAAAAACTCAGGATAGCTAAAACAGTGTTGTACAATAAAAGAACTTCCAGAGGTATCACCATCCCTAATTTCAAACTGTACTACCTAGCTATGGTAATAAAACCACGTGGTATTGGCATAAAAACATACAGGTTCATCAATGGAATCAAATTGAAAACCCAGACATAAATCTATACACTTATGAACACCTGATTTTTTATAAATAAGCCATAAATACACAATGGAAAAAAAGAATCTTCAGTAACTGGATGCCAGCATGTAGAAGAATACGATTATATCCGTATCTATTGCCATGCACAAAACTCAAGTCCAAATGGATCAAAGACTTCAACATTAAACCAGATACACTGAATCTGATAGAAGAGAAGGTGGGAATAGCCTTGAACATGCACAGGAGACAACTTCCTGAAGAGAACACCATTAGCACAGGCATTAAAAACAACAATCAATAAATGGGACCTCATGAAACTGAAAAGCTTCTGTAAGGCAAAGGACATTGTCAATTGGACAAAATTGGAAAGATTTTCAGCAACTCCACATCTGACAGGGAGCTAATATCAAAAATATATAAATAACTCAAGAAAGTAGACATCAGCAAACCAAATAATCCAATTAAAAAGTGCATTGCAGATCTCAACAGAGAAATCTCCAGTGGCTGAGAAACGCTTAAAAAAAATGTTCAACATCCTTAGCCATCAGGGAAACACAAATCAAAACAACACTGAGATTCCATCCTACACCTTTCAGAATGGCTGAGATCAAAAACACAAGTGACAGCTCATGCTGGTGAGGATGTGGAGTAAGAGGAACATTCCTCCAGTGCTGGTGGGAGTGCAAACTTGTACAGCACTTTGGAAATCATTATGGTGGTTTCTCAGAACTTGGAGATTGATCTACCTCAAGACCCAGCTATACCACTCTTGGGCATATAGCAAAAGGACACCCCATCCTACCACAAAGACACTTGCCTGGTGTTCTTGTGGGCCACCTAACAGTGGGAATGGGGGTACCTCTGACTCTTTCGCCTGCACTTGGGACCCTTTTCTTCCTATTTGGCTGCCTCATCCAGTCTTGATATGAGGGTTTGTACCTAGTCTTGTTGTAACTTGCTATGCAATGCTCGGTGGATATCCCCGGGAGGCCTACTCATTTTTTTTTAAAGAAAATGGAGGAGGAGGAGATCTGGGGAGAGGAAGGGTGTGCTGGGACTGGGAGGAGGGGATGGGGAGGAAACTGTAGTTGGGATGTAATATATAAGAGAAAAAATTTTAATGAAAAAAGAAAAAAATATTACTTTTACCTAAAGCAAATAATGGTTTTGAGAACAAGCAAAAAAGGCAAAAATTAGTAGAGATGAAAAAGAACATAAAAAAAAAAGTTATGGAATGCAAAATGACTGGTAGGCACATTATTTGTATTTTTATATGTTACTTGATGTAATCCTAGCCACACAGAAGTCATCAGCCTCATCTTTAATTACAAAATTGAGGTTCAAGGAAAGTTACTGCCCACGCTTGAACTAGCAATATACAGAGTGAAGCAACAATTTGATCAATTGTCTCTACCACAAGTGTGATAGGGAAACCCATGTCCTTTCCTATAAGCATCCAGCAGGGTTCATTATATACTACTGTGTGTATTTTTCTATATTTGGTGGTTTGTCATGGAAATGTAAGGGGCTAAGTAGCAAAGTAAAGAGATAACATGAGTGGTCTGTATTTTAAAAAAAGACTAAGTGAACAGAATAGAAGCCTACAAATAGGCCAGGGACACATTACCACACAGTGTCAGGGCACTGCTTTTCTTTAAATATTGCTAGGATGACTAGATATCCACACAGGAAAAAAAATTAAAACAACTCCCACTTCATATTGTTGTAAATAAATTTCAAATTTCAGGTAGATTATAGAAGTTAATTGAAAACTAAGCTAGAACTTTTAGGCTGCAAGATGATATTTTCATAATCTTTCAGCTGAAGAGTTTTAGCATTCAGAAAATAAAAATTATTTTGTTCTATCTCTTAAGTAGAATGATGATTATTTTATGATTGATTACATGGGTACATTTAAATTATTATGCTTTTTGTACTACCATTACCTTACAATACAGAATGTCAAAATTCTTAATCTATAATAATCAAATTAAAAATGTTAAAAACTAACACCTGGGACATAATTGTGCAATAAAAGATCAGCAAATGACTCACTGGTTTTTGAAGTACAATGGGATGATCAGGCAGAAAGTCTGGTTTTTTTCTGCAGATGGAAACACTTGAAAGCTTCAACAAGAAATCTCTGCTGTATTTAATTCTCTCTGTAGATAGTAAAATTTAAACATAATTATAAAACAATACTATTCTAGATAACTCGTCGACTTGGTTTAGATGTCTCTAAATTGTCCACTATTTTATTAAATGGCAGGCAGTATCTTTTGAAAAGATAGGGGGAAAAAAGCTTATCAAGTTTTCCTTTCACATGGAAAGAAAGCCAAGGAAGGGAAAAAAGGAAAGAAGAATCGGATGGAAAAATATGTAATACAGGGCTTACTCAGGTATAGCAAGGTGACCTAATATTATAAAGTGTAACAGCAGCAATATCTGTTGACTATGCCAATGGATATTATTAATATCTATTGTAATATTCTGATCATACCAAAATGGAACCACAGGATCCTATCTAATCTCAATCAATACTATAATTTTAATACAATCAAACTAATTAAAAAACATTTATTATATGCCTATTGTATATCAAGAATTATGCTAGATACTGGTAAAGAGTTCCAAGACAGGGTCCCTATCTTTAAGGCAACCAACTATTCAAATATCTCCCAATTTCTCCTCATAAATCATCCAGAACTATCATCAATATTGACCATGTGCTGATGTTGAAAGCAATGGCCATAATATTCTAAAAGAACTAAAAGAAACAAACTGACATATTTCTTATCAGTGTGGAGAGAAAATTCCACAGTAATTCTCCTGACACTCTTTCATAAAGGAAAGCAAAGGAATTCACTAGCAGACCTGATCAGCAAGAACTGTTAAAGGTCATTCAAGCTGAAAAGAAATGATCCTAGATGGAAACTTTCCTCTTCAAATGCAAGAGCACAAGAAATGATAAACTGGCCAAGTGCAGCAGAGTCATGCTCTTTCCTCTAAATTGTATTCAAATGTGTGTCACTGTTAAAGGCTAGAGTTCTAATGTGGTCTGGTGTGTTTCTAAATTATAGATGTATAGAGTGGCCTGCATACATGTCCAGAAATGTATCATCACCATATACTTGAAATAGTACAATATTAAAAATAAGTAACAAGGTTAACAAGGTTAGATATAATAATCTCTGAGGTCAATAAATAAACATGAAATAAACACAAAACCATCTAAAAGTAGGCAATAAAAAAATAAAATAAAATAAAAATCATCTATTATCAACAGAAACAAATAATAAAATAATAGACCTAAATCCAAGTATATCAACAACCACTTTAAATGTGAATGCTCTAAAAAAACAAGAACTTCTCTTAGGAAGTGTCAGCTAACAAATATTTGAGAATCATGGAATCATACAACCTGTTACAACTATTCAATTTTGTGTCATAGCACAAAAGTGGCCACCGATAATACATAATGAAGAGTGTGGCTCTCTTTCAACAAATTTTGTTTCTAAAAGAAGCATTTGATCCATAAGCCATAGTTTTCTGACTCCTATGAAAAGCATTGCATAAATGCATACAAGTTGCCACTGGGTAAAGAAGGCCTTCTTCTTACTCTGTACTGCCTGCAAATGACACATTAAAAAATATTTTTGAGGCCGGGCGGTGGTGGCGCACGCCTTTAATCCCAGCACTCGGAAGGCAGAGGCAGGCGGATCTCTGTGAGTTCAAGGCCAGCCTGGGCTACCAAGTGAGTCCCAGGAAAGGCGCAAAGCTACACAGAGAAACCCTGTCTCGAAAAACCAAAAAAATAAAAAAATAAAAAAAAAAAATAAAAAATATTTTTGTGTGGAAGCTATATATACATATGTGTGTGTATGTTGTGGATATATGTGTGTTATATATGTATATGATATATGTATATGATATGATATATACCAAGACTAGGAATAAGAAATCTGAAGTGGCTAGCTATCTTCTCAAACAAAGAGGTAATTATCATTATGTTCTACATAATGGACTTTTAAAAGACATGAAGCAACTTTAACAGAAATAAATTGGGAAACTTAGACAATAACATCAAGTATTATAAAACTCTCCTTCAGAAAGTAAGAAAATTAAGCACAAAAATCAGCAGCAACCTCAAGAGCATTATTAAATATTTTATCTAACTAAAATTATAAACATGACACCTAAAAACATAAGTTCCTTTTTAATATATTTGGTACAATATACAGATAGCACTTATAAGTCAGACCATAAACAAGTCTTAATAAATAAGTCTATATAATAACAAATTTAAATTATAAATCTATAATAATACCTATAAAATCTCAAATTTCTAACAAGTCAAATAATATAGTTCAACATACATTCATAAAATACAATTAAAAATATTTTAAAGTGAACAATTCAAATATAACATTTAAAACTTGTAGAGTAGGGCTAGAAAGATGGCTCAAAGGTTAAAATCTTTGCTGCTCTTGCAGAGGACTTGGGTTCAGTTCCCAGAATCCTCTTGGTGGTACACAATTATCTGTAACTCCAGGTCCAAGGGATCTGACATCTTCTTCTTGCCTCCACAGGCATCAGGCATACATTTGGTGCCTGATATATATATACTCAGGCAAAAAAAATTCATGCATGTAAATTTAAAACGTAAGTCTTTCTCAAATATGTACAATATGGCTGAAACATAGCTTCAATGGGAACAAATTCTTATTGCATCAAAGGTTTGGGGCAACTCTATTGCTGAAGACATCACATATTTGAGTCATAGAACATGGAGAAACCAAGCTGGTACTGATCTAAAAGCTTCACCCTACTGGCTAGTTTTCATAGTACTGGAAGGTGCTATGAACACTACGAGAGGAGAAAAGTTAACCGTCAGTCTTACCTCACTTATCTCACACCTTGGGAGCCATAATAATGACCAGGCTGGCAAGCCATGCCACTGTGGCAGTAGTGCCATAAACACAACAAACGTTATCAATCACTTTGAGATTGGATTTAAGGCCCATTCCACAACATGAAACCCACACCTGGCACCATTATCGGGCCAAGGACCTATAGTTGAACAATTCATAGGCCATAAGGGAGAAGTTACTACTTGAAAAAAATTGTTTTTGAAGGACAATACCAATAGACATGCTAACATCGACAGAGGAAAGCGAACAGGCTTTGACCCTACAGTAAGAACTACTGGTAACTAAGAAATAATAAGAGCTGGAGAAGTAGTCTTCCCAGACAAGAACATTCCAATCGGTTATCAACACCAAGTGGCCATCCCTAAAGCTACTACTTTTATTCTGCTAAGTGAACACAGTATTAAAGTGACTGCTCATGACTTAGATTAATGCATCTCTCAACCTTTATCAGAGAAGCTTCTATTTACTTGATGAACACAGAGACTCACAACTGGCCATGGTGCAGAGAATAAGACACTGCAGAATGATCAGTCCTAAATGGAACAGACATACTCCACCTCCTCCTCCAAAGGCTCAGAGATCATTGAAGAAGAAGAGGTAGCAGACAGAGTGTAAAAGCCAGAGGCTGTAGACAACTATAGGGAAAGTGTTTTCTGGACACAGAAGGGCAGAAGGGCTCATATGAACTCACAGTGTTTGCTATGACAGCCTGCACAGGACCAATACAAGCCCAAGTCACACCAAATCCCGGCGTGGAGAGGGGGTTGTGCATGAAGTCCCTTCCCTAGCCAAGGAGCTCTTGGCAATTGTTAGTTAGAAAAATGTTAATCATTTTTCTCCCAGATTATAGCTCCTGGTAAATTGACCACAGTCCAGCAGAATACTACACATCTAAGAATATTGGGGTAGCAGAAATTTGTCTTAATGAGTTTCAAAGAGTATAAAGACACAGAACTGGATTAGTAGGAAAGTGGAGGGTGGGGGGAGATCTGGAAGGAGTTGTGAGAGGAACATGAGTGTGATCAAAGTACTTTGTACAAAATTCTCAACTAATAACACATGTATGTTTTAAACATATGTAATAAAACATAAAACATATAAAGAAATGTTTTGTTCTGTTTCTGTGTTCTTCTAACAGTATACCTGACTGTAGGTAGTTGAGAAATAAAAGCAGCTGATCATTATGGTGGCTGAAAAACCTAAACACCATGGCATCTGGGAAGGAAGGAACTGTTGACTTCATCTTAACACGCAAGGAGGCATCTTAGCATAGGAGGCATGAACATGTTAGAGGGACTGGCATTAATCTATTTTAAAGACTAGGTCCCCATTCTTACTATTATAATGGGGAATTGAGCCTCAATAAAAGGTTTGTGGAGACAAATCATATCATTAAGAAAATAAATAAATACAAGTAATGACCTAATAAGCTACACTGAAATGCTGGGGTCGAGTGGGGGACAAACTAAACAAGCCCAAAGTAAGACAAAGGAATTTACAACCATCAAAGACAAAGCAAAACAATTAAAGACAAAGCTGGTTCTTACTATCATCTCAGTAGACTGATTAATCAACAAAAAACAACCTCAAATGGTCACTGTCTAGAAAAAGAATAGAGTTCTTATCAAACATTAATTATAAAATAAAAAGATAGGATGAGCAACGTCCTACCAACATTCAACATGATGAAATGGCTATATACATATTTGAACACAGGTTTTAAATTCCCTTGATATGGCCATTTGATAATTAGAGTCTATTAGAATTACTGCAACTGAAATAATAATGATGAGCTATGAATGTCAAGTACTGTCAAGCAATTCGAGTCACAGATACATCTAGCTACAATGTCACTCTAAAACAGTATGATGAAATTATGCATCTACCTCTTCTATGGTACATCAACCCAACTTCTACTCCAGAGAAATAAAAAAATCCAAACAATAACTTTTTATATAAGCAATCAATATCAACAATAATCAAACATTAAAATGCAAAAGGATAAATAAAATGTTGTATAGCCATATAGTGAAATTCCTATCCACCACTTTTCAAGAAAAAACAAAAAACAAAAAAGTAATACACAATAGAAAATGATAGCAGTTAGTATTCGCTGCTTGAGTGTGGAAATAGGGAATGAGGCAAATGTGCAACAAATGAGTGTGTTCTGTGATGGAAGTGCAGCGATTCTTACACAGTTCTGCAGTTTAGCAAGAGGACAGACAATTCACCCACTTAAAATGGCGACTTCTACAATATCTACATTGTATCTTTCGGTAAAGCTCCTATGGAATAGATTCTCTGAGACGAAAGGATTTTACATTTGGATAATAAGATGAGGAGGAGGAGACTGGATAGTTGCTGCTTTAGACAGTGCTGTGTAGAAGCAGCTCATAAGATGGGATCAATTCCGTGATGGGAACAGCCAGTGGCTGCAAACTAAGGATTTGTAACTTCACATTGGGCTGTGCTGCCCCAGGAGAAAAAACAAGAAAAGCTATTAGCAACGTGAGCATGTGCGCATGGGGGCGGGAAAGAGTGTTCAGAAGGTAAAGAATGACTAAGGAAATATAAAACACACTAGAGAGCCGATGCTATCAATAATAGACCCAAACAGGGGCTTTAGAAAAGGAACAGAGAGAAAAATGGAGTGGAGAAAAACTACCAAGAAACGTGCAAAAAAATTCCACATTGAGGACCCTACAGTATCTTCATATTGAGAAAGTTCACTTTTGTCTCGTTTGTTTCTATAGACTTGCCTTTTCTAGTTGTTTCGTGTAAACAAGAACTTAAGATAGCTCAGATTTTGTGTCTACCTTATTAAAAGCATGCATTTTGAAAGTTCATCTTTACCTGAAATTTTCCGTCTAGCAGACTATCAATCACATGTGAAAGTGGAAAAATGTCATTTTCAAACACCTGTTCAACACCCTTCTTCATAAATTTTCTGAAGAATGTACTTGAGCAAAGAGAGATGATGAATGAAGACAAGGTGAAAATCGAGGAAAAACCTGAGTGACATTATGGAAAAGAGCCAAGCTGGGAAAAAGCTGGTAAACACCTGGAAGAATCAACTTTCTCTGAACCCTGTAACTTCACTAAAAACTTAATCTGTTTGATAAGCATTCCCAGGACAAGAGACAGCAGCTGGAACAAACACATACCTTGCTCACTGATTGGAAGACATGGTATTTCAAGATGGTAATATTCCTCCCAAATGATCTATAGATTCAATGCCATCACTACCAAAATTTTAGTGTTGTCTATTACATAAATGGAAAATCTGATCCTAAAAAACATACGGATTTCAATGAACCCCAAATAGTTTAAACTATCTTGAAAAAGAACAGCATTAGAGGGTTTATACTTCCAACAATCCAAACTTTCTACAAAGCTACTACAGTATTCAAACAGTGTGGCACCAACATAGGGTAAAAATATAGGATAAAGGATTAGAACCGAGAGTTCATAAATAAACACCAATGTCCACATCACCTAATCCCCAATAAAGGTTCCAAGGACATTCAATGAGGAAAATGTGTCTTTAATTCTGAATAGCTACATGAAAAAAAGAATAAAGCTGGACTCTAATTTCACAACAGATCCATAAATTAACTCAAAATGGATCAAAAGCCCCAAAGTTATAAAAGTATCAAACCCTGAAGGGACCAAGGGTAAATATTCATAAGAGCTGACAGTCTTTTTTTTTTTCCATCTAATCCTAAAACACAGCACCAAAAGAGAAACACTCCAAGTCGGGAGTCATCTAATTAAAATGCTGAGCACTGAAAGAAGGAACTGAGACAATGTGTTCCAGCGCAGGGAAAACACTTGGAAATCAGGTGTCTGGTACCTGACGGGGTTAAACACTAAAAGTGAAGAGGGGCAGGAAAAGGGAGGAGAGGAGAGAGAGGGAAAGAGAGAATATGTATGTATGTGCATACGTATGTATACTACAAGTCAGTCAAACAAACCACCCAATGAAAATTTTGATAAAATATATAACCTTCCATCTCATTGAAATAACTGTTATTCTGACGTCTCTTTGAGAGCAGAAAAACGAATGTAATTACTAATACAAACAATTCAACCTAAAATATAATAAAATTCTTATGTATAGATAGGTAGGAAAATGACAAAGAGAGTTAACTTTATATGAATACTGAGGATACTCTGTGATTAAAGTTGAGAATTTTAGCAAAAGTTTACCTTTTTTAACTGGAGACTGGTGTTGCTGTTGCTCATTAAGACCTTGAGAAAAGGCTTGCATTCCATTCGTCTTACACTGTTGAGTAAGAAAACCTACTTTTAAACTTGGGACTGAAGCATTTATGTAACATTTCTTTTTACCACCCAGAGGCATTTTGTAAGGCCTAAAATATTAATCACAGAATACTTGGAGCTAACTAATAAACTCCAGCTATAAGTTTGCTTTTTAAAGTGAACAACAGAAAGCTGGTATTCTGCTGCACCCTTACAGCTCCAGCACTCAGGAGGCAGAGGTGGGAGGGTTGTGAATTCAAGGTCAGCCTGGTACAGAGGGAGACAGTATTCCAAGTCAATCTCAGCTCACCTATGAGCTGCTTCATGGAGGGGGGGGGCAGAATTCCCAAAAACAATATAGTTATTGCCATTGTCCTTGGTTACCCAACACAACTAGATGGTAAGACTCTGATTCTGAAACCACATATTTGGTTGTAGGACACAAAGGCATCAAACTGGAACTGACCTGAAAACTTCCTCCCCTATGGCTAGCTTTTATAGTGCCAAAAGATGCTTTGCAGGCTACTGTGGAGCAAATTATGAATGATCTTATGCATTAATAAACCCTGTATGCTATATAATAGTGTCTTACCAGTCAAGCTGTGACCAGCAGTGAAACAGTGGCATGCATGTTACACAGCTAACTAACCACTTAATTCTGTTAAGATTTCAGGCCCATTTCACAGAAGGGAATTCATGCGTGGTTCTGCAAACCTGGTCAAAAGCCCTTGGCTTGTGAGGTAATATACTCGACGGGGATAATTTACTGCTGTTGCTTTGCTAAATGGACATGTCTAAGTCTTTCCAAATCTTTATGCCTACACTCCTAACTACGCATGCTCTCATCCTTGGTCACAGACATATAGCTTTCATCCTGACGATACAGTGATAACTGCTGTGGGATAGTCTGTATGGCAAATGTGCTGCTCTGATTAGTTAATAAATAAAACACTGATTGGCCAGTAGCCAGGCAGGAAGTATAGGCAGGACAGAGAGAGAGGAGAATTCTGGGAAGTGGAAGGCTGAGACAGAGAGACCTGCCAGCCGCCACCATGAAAAGCGAGACGTAAGGTACCGGTAAGCCACAAGCCAGGTGGCAACTTATAGACTAATAGATATGGGTTAATTAAAGATATAAGAACTAGATAACAAGAAGCCTGCCACAGCCATATAGTTTGTAAGCAATATAAGTCTCTGTGTGTTTACTCGGTTGGGTCTGAGTGACTGCAGGACTGGTGGGTGAGAGAGACTTGTCCTGACCTTGGGCCAGGCAGGACTGGAGCAAACTCCAGCTACAGATAACCCCCAGGTGCTATGTAACACTGACTTGCCAGTATTGAGATGTGAATAGTGGTGAAACAGTGGCATGCATGTTCTGCAGTTAACTAACCACATTCTGATAGGATGGGGAGTAGTTAATTCAAAGATTCATAACTGGTCCAAGTGAATGTTGACTTCTCATCCCTAAATGGAACACCAGTATCTCTCCCACCCCTCAAGACTCGGGGAATATCCCCAAGATGGGAGTGAAAACAGTATAAGATATAAAGATGCTGTGAGATGCTTGCTGCTGTGTACGGCATGGCATCATACACATGAACTCAGGGAAGCTATGGCTATCTGCACAAGACCTGCACACAACTGAGCCCTTAGCGTTCTCGCATGGGGGCAGAGGGGCACATGAATTCCAGGACTAGATGGAGACTATTGGCTTTAATGGTAGCTGGAAGAGAGGGGGGTATTTTCCTTTAGAGGCTCAGCCACTGGTAAGGTGCTCATGACTCACTAAGTAACTCCACACTCACACACATGCAAGTAACACTAACTATACTCAGTGAGTTATAAAACATACACACACTTTGCACAAATAAACACATGTAAAAAATTCTTTCTCACATCTGAAATTTTAGTGGATGATCATTAAACTCTGAAATAGCCACTTCAAAGCAAGGCCTAACATCAAAGGTAAAATTATACTTTTTCATGCCTATTCACATTAAAAAAACCATTATCTAAAATATTTCACACTTGTAAAAAGAATACTTACTAAAAGTTTTGCAAAGTGATTATATGTTCTGTGACATGTCATAATCATACAAAGGTAAGCATGATCATCATGTTTACAGTCAAAGTAAAGACCAGATGAGTTTCGTGACAAGCCATATGCCAGACCAGAGCTAGCTGAAGTGGGCTTTGAAGACTGGTGCTGGTATACACAGCTATGAGGTGTGTACCTAAAGGAGTGCCCTTCGCCATACTGATGTTGACTTTTAATGAATAGGAACAAAATATAACCATCTTGTATTTTTTCAATAACGTTGATATAACAAAGATGCCAGTTAGTTAGCAATCACCCTAATGAACGCAGTCACTTAAGGAACACAGGGTACCCATGAAATAGGAGCACTGTGGTTTGAATTGGAAATACAAAGAAAAACATGACATCTCTTTTCGGGAACTCACAAATTCCCAAATGTGAAACAACTTTCTCATAGACCATGTTCTTCAAATATTTTCTGTGTATATAAGAACAATATCAAAACCCAAAATATATTTCAAAGGAATATAAAGAAAGAAGTTAACAAGAACAAAATGGGCAATGATGTGAATTGGCAATTCTCTTTACACATACAAAAACTATGAGTCAAACTAAACACATGAAAAGATACTCCAATTCTTAGGCCATAGAGATAAAAATTAAAAGAATTTGCAACCACTTAGCAAGAAAAAAATGTCTGATAATAACAAGATAAGGACCTTGGTTAGGTGACAGAGTTCTATGCCCTACATAGAAAATTTACCTCACTGCATAATCTGAGTAGCTAACAGAGCTAAAGGTGAGAACATTGTTTTCTGTTTTATTTTTTTGTTTGTTAGTTTGATTTTCCAGACAGGGTTTCTCTGTGTAGCCCTGGCTGTCATGGAACTTGCTCTGTCGACCAGGCTGGCCTCAAACTCAGAGATCCACCTGCCTCTGTCTCCCTGCTGGGATTAAAGGTATAAAGGCCTGCACCACCACCTATGAGAACATTGCTTAACACAGTAATTCTCTTCCTGGTTTTGTTTGTTTATTGTTTTATCATAGAGAATCTTTCAAACTTGAAAAAGTGAAAAAAGCACTGGAGGGCCATTGTTACATTGGTATAAAATTGAAACAACTATCCATCAAAAGAAAACGGACTCACAATGGGGTCTGTTTGTGTAAGCTGAAGTGTTTTTTCTCCATCAGCAGCCGTGGAGCTGCTCTGTTTGTTAGACAGTTGCCCAGAATTCCAGTTGTCAACACTTGTGTACCCACAGCTTACTTCTGGATGTATTCCAGCATCAGGATATCTACTTAGATTACTAGGAAAGGGACCACCAGGGAAAGGCCGTAGGCCAGAAGGAAAGCTTCACTAAGTATCACTTCATAAATTTAATTTTTCATTATTGATATTAAAGAAAATTTAAAAAAATAAAGTAGTTAAAATAATTCTATTATGGCAAAAATTCAAAATATATTCATGGAAAAAAAAAAACAACCAGGATAGTTAGCTCTGGGGAGGGTAGCAAGAAGAGGGAATTAATTTTAGAAAAATACACAGTGAGTTTTGAATTGTCAGGCTTTTGTTTTTAATTTTTTAAACAATTATAGGAAAATATTACATTTTAAAATGCTAAGTGAGAAGTATATGGGTGGTATGCAATCATTAATATATGTATGATATATATCTTAACTTTTTTTAAAAAGAGAACAATATTCTTAACATAAGATCAGGCATACAGCCACTTAGCAATGTCATTTTATAGTCTATAATGTGTGTACATATATTACACACACACACACACACACACACAATCCCTGGATAAGCATCAACTATGCTACTGAGCTACTCCCCAGCTCAATCTGTTATAATCTCTAAGACTTACTCGGCCAACTCCACTTTGTAAGCACTGAGTGTTACATGGATATTCATTCTGAAAGTTAAAAGGGAATACTGGTCCTGTAAGAAGAGGGAAAAACTATTTTAAATATTCACATGTTCAATAAATGATATACCATAGTCTAAAAAGCACACGTTTCTGACATCTTTGGCATTGTTACAAAATGCTTATGATGGTTCATTATCCAACATATATTTATTCCATCCTCTGACGTCATAGCTTGTTAGGAGAAAGGTAACAAGCATGAGAAGACTTCACAGTCTAAAAACAAGCTCATAAGTAATGGGTACCATATAATTTCATACACAGTAAACTATACTCTTACTGTGAGCTTTAGAGAAATCACAGGGGTGCCATAGTTGGTTGAGGGTGCCAGGAAGGCTTCACAAAGGAAGTAATTTAATCTGCATTTGAGGGAAAAGAAAATCCTTCTGAGGACCTGAGCTGTGCAAAGTGTACAAATATGTTGTGAAAGCTCAAGATTGATTTTTTAATTTAGCTTTCTATCTAACAAGCCTCCAGTTCACTGTATCTTAAATGTATTATACTTCAGGTACAGATCAGGGTCACCTTGCATTCTTTCCCATTCATCTATGTCACAGCCTTAGAGGAAAGGGGTCAGTGAAAATCTGGACCTGCAAAATCGAGATGGGGAAGAGTGCTGACAAAAGCTGATCACAGGGACAAGATCAATGGAATCGAATCGAAGATGTAAAGCCACACACCTATGGACATCTGATTTTTGACAAAGAAGCCAGAATTATACAATGGAAAAAGATAAAGCATCTTCAACAAATGGTGGATATTGATTACAACAAATAACTGGATGTTGGCATGTAGAAGAATGCAAATAGATCATTATTTATCATTCTGCATAAAATTCAAGACCAAGTGTATCAAAGACCTCAACATAAACCCAGTTACGCTGAACCTGATGGAAGAGAAAGTGGGGAAGAGCCTTGAATGCATTGGAGAAAACATCCTGAATAGAACACCAGTAGGACAGGCACTAAGATCAACAGTTAATAAATGGCACCTCATGAAACTGAGAAGCTTCTGTAAGGCAAAGGACACTGTCAATAGGACAAAACAGCAGCCTACAGAATGGGAAAAGATCCTCACCAGCCCCATATATGACAGAGGGGTGATCTCCAAAATATATAAAGAACTCAAGAAAACTACATATCAACAAACCAAATAATCCAATTAAAAATGGGGCACAGACCTAAACAGAGAATTCTCAAATGGCAGAAGAATGTCAAATGGCAAAGAAACAAATGTTCAAAATCCTTAGCCATCAGGGAAATGCAAATCAAAATGACTCTGAGATTCTACCTTACACCTGTCAGAATGGCTAAGATCAAAAACACTGATGACAGCTTATGCTGAAGAGGATGTGGAGCAAGGGAAACACTCCTCCACTGCTGGTGGGAGTGCAAACTTCAACACCCACTTTGGAAATCAATATGGCAGTTTCTTAGAAAATTAGCAATCAATCTACCTCAAGACCCAGCTATACCACTCTTGGGCACATACCTAAATGATGCTCAATCATACCACAAGGATACTTGCTAAAATATGTTTATATCAGCTTTATTTGTAATAGACAGAACCTAGAAATAAGCTAGATGCTCCTCAACTGAAGAATGTATAAAAAAATATATACAATAGAGTATTACTCAGCTGTTAAAAACAATGACATCAGTAAATTTAAAGGCAAACGGATAGAACTAGAAAAAAAATCATGCTGAGTGAGGTAACACAAACCCAGAAAGACAGACATGTACTCACTCGTAAGTAGATATTAGCTATAAAGTAAAGGATAAACATGCTATAATCCACAGACCCAGAGAGGCTGGGTAACAAGGAGGACCCAAGGGGGAACACATGGATCTCCCTGGGAAGGGGAAACAAAAGAGATCTCCTGGGTGGACTGGGGGTGGGTGGGGATGGGAACTTGAGGGATCTGGTTGGTGGGTGGATGGAGGGGAAGAGAACTAGAAGAGAGGTCTTGATGGAGGGGAAGGGGCATCGTGGGGTCAGGTAGAAATTTGATGCAAGGGAAACTCCCACGAATCTACAAGGATGACCCCAGCTAAGACTCCTAGCAATAGTGGATATGTAGTCTGAACTGTCCATCTCCTGTGATCAGATTGGTGACTACCCTAATGATCATCAGAGAGCCTTTATCTAGTAACTGATGGAAACAGATGCAGAGACCCACAGCCAAGCATTAGGCCAAGCTCAGGGAATCCTGCGGAAGGAAGGAAGGAAGGAAGGAAGGAAGGAAGGAAGGAAGGAAGGAAGGAAGGAAGGAAGGAAGGAAGGAAGGAAGGAAGGAAGGAAGGAAGGAAGGAAGGAGACAGAGTGGTCAAGGACATCACAAGAAAACCCACAGAATCAACTAACTGGGCTCATTGGAACTCAGAGTCTGAACCAACAACCAGGGAGCCTGCATGGGACTGGCCTAAAACTTCTATATACATGTGACAGTTATATAGCTTGGTCTACTCGTGGGACTCCCCAACAATGGGAGCAGGGACTGTCCCTAATGCTTTGGCTGGCTCTTGGGAACCTACTCCTTATCTTGGTTGCCTTACCCAGCCTGAATACAAGGGGAGGTGCTTAGTCTTACTCCAACTTGATATGCCATGCTTCGTTGATACCTATGGAAGGCCTGCCCTTTTCTGAACAGAAACAGAAGAGGAATGGATTCGGGGGTCGGGGTGGGAGGAGAGGAGGGAAGGAAAATTGCAGTCAGGATGTAAAATAAATTAACTAATAATTTTTTTAAAAGCTGATCACAGGAAGGAACAGCTGCCATTCACTCTATGATAAATTGGAAATCTGACTCTACTCAAGAGCTTCCAATTCAGAGGACATGGGATCCATACACCAATGCTGTTGACCTGGAAGATCCAGTAAGTTACCTGTCTGTGTTAATGCACAACTCTCTTGAAAGGGAGCATGACTATGTACTGACCATTTTCTTGGAGGAACCAAGGATGGGAGCAGTTTGGTTACATGTCTACATTTCCTGCTTCATTTTTATAGAAAAAAAGGGAATATATTCTTCCTTTATTAAGCAATCCATTAAATCAGTGGGACAAACTAGACTAAAGAAATTGTGAAGCAGTTTATATGTGTGCCACTTAATTTAGACCACAGAAACCATTCTAGCAGCAAGGAATCACATATTTCAAGATTGTGTCCAAGAACACTTTCGTGAACAGGAAGAAAAACATTTAAGATTGGGAGAGGGTTTACCAGGGATTGAACCTAGGACCTCGCATGTTCCAGGCTCTATGAATTAGTTATATCTCTAGCCAGTTTTGTATTCTTTATTAAATGCATTTATTTATTCTGTGTGTGTGTGTGTGTGTGTGTGTGTGTGTGCGCGCGCGCGCGCGCAAGTATAGGTATAGGTCAGAGGACAACTTGCAGGAGTCACTTCTCCCTTCTACCATGTTGGTCCCAGGGATCAAAGTTGGGTCTTCAGGCTTGGGGGGAAGCACCTTTACCCACTGCACCATTTTGCCAGCCCCCTTGGTTTTATTTTGAAGTAGGTTATTACTAAGCTGTCCAATCAGACCTGAACTGTCTCTATGGCCCAAATACACCTGGAGTTTGCAATCTTATTTCCTTAATGTCTCAGGTAGTTTACAGGCCTCAGCTGAGAGTCCTGGCTTACTTACATTGTTATTGTTGTTTGACTTCTGAACAGCTCAAGCATGTCCCCAACTCCTATTGGCATTACATGCACAATGTAATGTTAGCCTCTAAGCATTGTTTCCTACAAAAATGGTCATTTTGTTTCCGTGTTTTTAAAAGACATTATACAACATGACTACTATGCACTGGCAATAATCACAAGGTACAAATGATTTATATGGAGGGTGTTTCTCTGACCAGAGACCAGTTAACTATGCAATAAGACATTAAAATAAACAAACAAACAAACAAAAAAGTCAGCTACGTCCAAGTAAGGGCTTATTCTCCCTTCCCTGCCTGATGTGGAAGATTCAGGGTCAGCAGATACTAATAACCTCTTTATCATTAGAAAGCATTTGTAAACTCTTCCAACAGAAGGGATCATTAATTTTTATTACTTCTTTTAAAATCCACTTCAAATAATTACTTATAAATGATTTAACCTTCCAAATACTAATTAGTAGTTAATAAATTAATACTTAAAGAATTAAATACTCCATCACTCACCTGGAGAAGAAGAGAGATGACGAACAGGTCTTGCTGGTTGAAGCGGTTTGCCAATCAATTTTTTGGTTTCCATTGTCATAAAGACCTTGAGGTTCCATACTTTAATAGGGGAAAACACATTTTTATCTTTTAGACAAAATAATAAAGACCATTTATACCCTTTCCATATATGTAAACAACAATAATACTGATTTGAAAACATTAAAGTGGAAACACACATGAAACTCATTTAAAATATTCAACCTCTATACAGTCTTCACCACAGTTACACAATCCCTCTTTAAGGGATTTCCTCCTTCAATTTATGTGACTCTATTATCTTGTATTGTTTCCTATGTCTTTGGCTGCCTCTTCTAATTACTTTAACTGATTCCTCTTCTACTCTATAATTATAAATTTACGGATGATTACATTTAGCTTTAGTCCTTTCAGCTAACTCATTGATATTCATATTTACCACTATCCACATACACATGAAAATATGATGTGATGTATACCTTAGCCTTTATGTATTAAATGCTAGCCCCACTGTTATTTCCATTTCTACATTATCATTGGGATGTCAATTAAACATCTCCAAAATGGAGTTAAGAGCTGTGGTATCAAAAATGTTCTTCTCCTGAATTCTTTAATCACCAACTCCCTTAAACACTCTTTTACTAGACATACCCTCAGTTTGATGGTTTTAGTCACTCTGATTCCTGTCCATTTCTCTGCCAAAGATTCCTCATGTATTCTTATCTACTCTCTTAATTTCACAGCCCTGGCAGTCCTTGAACTCTCTCTGTAAACCAGGCTGACCTCAAACTGCCTCTGCTTCCTGCGTGCTGGGCTTAAAGCTATGCGCCACCACTGTCTGTCCACAGAAGTTCTTAATTGATCTCTCTGACCACCTTTTAAATAGATGTAAATGACTCCCATATGTGACCTTGTGACACCAAGAATATGTCTACATTATAACATTTAGAGGACATTATAGTATACTTTTTCTTCCATACTAGACAAAAGTGGAAAATAGGTTCTTCTTAATGAAGAAACATTAATTCACCCAATATCCTCTGAAAAATATAAAATATGGATAAAGCAGGCTGTTCCTTGAGCAACTAGATAAATATTGCCATCTTTTGAACTGTGATCCTTTTGTATACACCTAAAGTTTAAAAACATGAGCATGTGACTAGTGGTACATGCGAAGGCTGTAACCACTACTGCTTGGATAATAAGGCAGAAGAATTGCAAGGCCACCCTAAGCAACTTAACAAGATCCTGTGTGAAAAATAAAAAAGTTAAAAATACCTTGGAATATATCTTAAGGGTAGATATATTGCCTGCCATGTGCAAGGATCTAGATTACCTGACACTACCAAAACAAAACAAAAATATTGCCCACCAGTTCAAAATCTTCTGCACTAATAATAATAGAAGTAGATTATATCCATGGTATGTATAACAAACCACTTATGTACATATTATTATAAATAACTCTACACCATTCATAGAAGTCAGGAAGAGTGGTATGCCCTGTAATCCTACCACTCAGAAAGCTGAGGCAAGAAGATTGCAAGTTAGAGGCCACACTGGGCCACCTAGTTAAATCCAAAGCCATCCTGAGCTACTTGACTGTGTCTCAAAATTAATGATTTTTATGTAAGCATGCCTGGATTCATATCATGCCTCTAACACCTACCTATATGACAGTAGATAATAACCATCATACTCCCTAAGCTTGATGTAAATACTAAATAGTATAACTTACATAAATCACTGAGGAACACTTGTGTTACATAATTCAGTAGAAGTTAATGTGTCATTCTCAGTTTATAATTCAGGTATAGACAGAGAACGTAATAATGCAAGGTCAGCAGACTAGGAAGTGATGGCTAGGCTTTGCCCATGCTGGGGGACAATCTTCTATCCTTCCCACACTTAGGCTAAACTGCTCAGATTCTCAATAAGAAGACTTTTTATGATTTCACAAAACATTTCTGTAACCTCTTCCAATCCAGTACTTATTACACACATTGCAACTACCTATTAATCAATGTTTACATTTATTGAGAATTTCATACACATTATTAACTATAATACGTATTTCTTCACTTCATGGTCATCCTAACAATTCTGATGAGGACTCTAGTAATACCACACAGCAACGGTCCTCCCTGTTTCCCACATAAAACTAGTGAATCAGAACACAAAAGAATAGAAGACCTTGGCACACAGTTCCTTGTTTTCCATTGCTCAGCTGAAACTGAGCTGTAGACTGTGAAGTCTCTTCCAGCTGCTGAGCAAGGCAAATCCACAGTATTCAAACTGGGGAATTTCAAGAGTTGGGAGTTACAGATCTTGCAAAACACTACACAGAAAATGAAAGCCCTTTTGGTACCACCTACCTTCCAGTCGGCAGTAGAAAAGAGACACCTACGACTTCCCATATATAAATTCACATCAATCAGGAAATTAGAAAATATGGTTGCACACATACTTTTTAATGTATGTTTTCTTTTAAAACTAAACTCGGTTTGCACAGACACACTGACATGATAGAGGGTGATTTAGAATAGTATACGCTATCATCATTTATTAATTAGAGGGTTAAGTATTTACAAGATAACCACCACACGTATCTGAGCTACAGATTCTAATCAAGAGAGGACTCCACGAACCACAATCCAAATTTCCATTAGTTAAAAATAACAGGTTTAGCTGAACTACTAAGGTGGTGTATAAAATAACTTCTGTGTTTAATGCCTGTTTCATCCTAGAGCTTAACAGCTTCCTTGATGCTGCCAGCGCTACCCAGAGTACGCATTTATCTCCTCGACTTTTACAAAGGACAGTAGCTGCAAAAGAAACGATCTCACTGATAACATTGAGTAGCAAAGGGCAGGCCCTAAGAATTTTCTCTTTTAGAATGCAAATGTACAGTTTGTGACTTAGACCTCATTATATTTTTAAAAGGTCATTTGGCATAATATCTCAAAAATATTCATTTCTATTAATATATTCCTCAGAATGGTTGCTAAATAAAGTTTCTTTCAAGTTTGAAAAATGTATCCTCTTGAAGGACCAGTTGCTTAGGAGTGAAATCAGTGGACTTATTAGGCCTATTAGTGAAGGGCCTTGTAGCTATTATTCCACAGGTACCAATACTAACTACATCCTCGGTTTCTTTCTTGTTTTGCAGAAGCTGTCCTCGTCAATTCTGAGATTACAAATTAACTAGAATTTTCTAAAATATAGTAGAATAAGCACGTAAACTGAAAAATTTGGATGTAATCTGTATAGAGTATAGATGTTTTAAATTAAAACACCATTTCTTTAGATATTACTACATCCTAAATACCTTATAAATGTTACTTAACACTGAGCTATACATTAACTGTTGAAATGATTAGTCCCACCTTACAGATGACAAGCATGAGGTTCAGAAACCCCAGTCTACAGAGTTAGCCAATTCATCAGTCTCCAAAGTTGCTTATTTGTTCAGACATGACTCCACTGTTACATGCAATTAATTTTATGTATTGATGAAAAATTAACCAGGAGACGGCACATTCATTTATAAAGCCTTGGTGAATAAATTGTATATGCTAACACTTTCCATTTCCTCGATTTACATTTTTTTCTTAGAATATTTCATTACGACGTTTTCCTCATACGAATCATAATTCAGAGTTTAAGATACATAGGGCTGGGCGTGTGGCTCGGGTGGTAAAGGACTTGCCTAGCACGTACGAAGCACTGGATTTGATCCCCAGCACTGCAAAAAAAAAACCTGGTATGATGGCTCACCCCTATAATCCCAGCCCTTGGATCAGGAATTCAAACTCATCCTTGGCTTCAGAGTGAATTAGAGACCAAGTCACGGCTAGACACTCTGAGTACTAAAATTAAGATCTCCCCTTTAAATTCTGGGCGTCTTGAGGGTAAGGATGTATCTCAGCGGGAAAGTGCTACGCCAGGATGTGTGAGGCCTTGAGATCTATTCCTAGCACCACCAAAATAAGGATGCGGAGTTCTAGCTCAATTTAAAAACAAGATCACCCTTTATTTACCTTCCGTATATATCCCATGTGAAAACTCGTTAACATTTAAATTCAATTTCCTACTTCAAAATTCTACACTACAAAGTATTTCTTAAAACCAAACGCTGCTTGTTAAGGCAACCAGTCCTGATGAAAAAATAATAAATGAAAAGTAAGAAAACAAATACGAACGGGAGATAGAATCTATTACTAGGTAGTTAAAAGAATTTTATATTCCATAAATCTAATTGACCTATTTGGTTTTTTAAAAAATCAAAAACTATCCAACAGCTACCCGCAGCATCTTATTTTCGCACTTTCTCTAAAAACCCCAGGGGGGTGGGCGACAAAAAGAGTTTTTCGTTGCTGTTGTTTGTTTTTATGTTTTGGATTTTGGTTTTGTCTGTTTTAGTGTCTTTCAACAAAAGACACAGTTTAACGAGTCGCTGAGACAAGATGTCCAGGCAACAGGTGTGTGCCCAGCCGTCTGGACCTTCTCACCAGCGGGCACCTGCGGGCGAATGGGCGAGCACCGAGGCTCCGGGGCTGTCGGTGCCTCCGCTCCCCGTGCCCGCTCCTCCGCCGCGGTGCCCGCAGCCCACCCGGTGCCCGGGCTCCGCGGGCGGCCTCCCCTCACCTACCGCCTCAAGACCCGGGAGGGTTTCCGGCGCGGCGGCGCGGCGCTCAGCCCAGACACGGCGGCCGAGCGCCCGGCTGCCGTCGGGGAACGGCTCCCGCCGCGAGTCGGTCGGCTCGCGGCCTGGGGCGCCGCGGCAGCGGGCAGGGGGCGGGGCGCGGGCCCCGGCGGGCGGGCGGGGCCCCGGGGCCAGGACCGTTAAACCGGCGGCGCGCGCGTCCGGGGCAGCGCCTGGGGCGGCCGGCGCGGCGCGCGCAGGCAGGGCGGGCGGGCGGACGAGCGGGCGGGCGGGCGGCGACCTCCTCCTCGGGCAGGTGCGGACCGGCGGGCGGGCGGGCGGGCGGGTGAGCGGGCGAGCTTGCCCTGGACGGGGCGCGCCCGCATGGACCGCCTCGGGCACCCAAGTCCTCAGCCCCCGCGTCGCGGGACCGTTAGGCGGGCCGTCTGCGCTGCGCGGAGCCCGAGGGTGGGGTCCCGGCCGCCTCTGTGAGCGAGGGAGGCCGCCTCTGTGAGCGAAGCCGCCTCTGTGAGGGAGGCCGCCTCTGTGAGCGAAGCCGCCTCTGTGAGGGAGGCCAACCCAGGGAGGGCAGCGGGGTCCGCGGGTGCCGCGTCTGTGACCCAAGCTCTGGAGCAGGCGCCCGAAGCCTTTTTTTTTTTTTTTTTTTTTTCCTGTTTAAAGGGGCTGGCGGCGACTCTACCTGGTATGTCTTCTGGATTCCAGCTGTCGACAAGGATGGTGGTGGAGAAGTGGCGCCCATCCAGCAGGAATACACATTTTCACCGTGTTTTCTGTTTCTTGTGACCCAAAGAGCACTGGCACAAACTGAAGAAGAGGTTCTGTGTGGGCTCACAGTGTGAGGCTACAGACCATCCTGGTGAAGAAGGTGCGGCAGGAGCAAGCTGGTCATAGCCAATCCGGAGTCAAAAGCAGAGGTGAACGCTGGTGCCCAGCTCACCTCGCCCCATTCACTCAGTCCCCCAAGCCTCACCCATTTATAATACTCCTTTTCTCACCCCCACCCAGTCTGGAAACTCCCTCACAGACCTATCGGGAGGTTTGTTGCCTGGATGACTCCAGATCCAAGAGTTGACCACATCCCACTCAGCAGATTACAGTCCTGAAAAGATCAAAATTAGTTAACAAAACTCAGTCCAAATCCATTGCTTTCCACCTTCCTTTCCGTTCTCGTCAACTTTTTTCACTGCCATCTCAGGATGTCCATAAGCCTGTGCTGAAGGACGTGTGTGTGTGTGTGTGTGTGTGTGTGTGTGAAGGACAGCCCTCACAGGGCTTTACACAAAGCGACACAGAGTAGCCCGTTCTGTGGGTCTGGGTAAGAACTGGAACAGAACACTTAGGTTAGGAGTACAGTAGAAACATGCCAAAGCTGACGCTTAGGCCCAGGTCAAAGTTTTCTGAGAAGGCAATGCTTCCGTGTTTACAGTTACCTGGAAGAAACGTGAGAGGAAGTACAAAGAGAGAGGAAAATGTTTTCAGCGCAGAGTAAGCAGAGGTGGATGAAGAGGAAAATGAAACATTAAACCAGACTTTGAGGCTTTATTTAATGGTCTATCTTTAAGTGACAGAAAAATGACATGATCAAAATTGATTATTTAAAGACCATTCTAACAGTGCTGTGGGGGGTAGATGTTCTGGGAAGAGGCAGACACAGCAACACAAGTTGTGGAGAAATTTACCAACACTGCAAGAAAAAAGAAATGAGTCGTCTGCATTAAGTATGGAAGAAGGGAGATCTTAAGGAAGAGATAGCAGTAAAGTTATTGCCAGTTTGGTAGGACAGGGGAATGAGACACTAGGGTGTCTTGGATATCTGATAGAGGGTAAACTGAGTCAGTGGTGGTGGAATATGTATGTATGTATGTAATGGATACAAGAAGTAGGCCTGGGAAAGGAAGAGTTTGAGACTTACATATGAGATTATAATACGATGTTTAGTTTGTAATATCAAAAACTGCAGAAAATGTACACTGGTACATGTACTGTATGCATACACACACATTTCATGGGCATTATAAATTGGAGAATTAGGGAAATATGTTTAAGAAAAACTTGCACATTTCAGAAGGAAGCATTTAGGAGGAAAAAAAATCCTCAAAAGGTAAAATAACCTCCAAAGGAAATGAGACTTGGGGGGCAAGTCAAAGTTTGACTGGAGTGGGGTACTGAAGGAGGATGGTCACCTAGGCTTGAGTGTCGGTAGAGAACAAGCAAGGGGTTTTTAGAACAGCCTGGGCAGAAAATTGTTGTTTGCCGTATTCTAGAAACTGAGGTAAGGCTAGTATAATTGGACTATAGAAAACAAAATGATAATGTTGACAAGTTTAAAGAATGGGAAAAGCCAAAAATCAGTATTTTGTGCACAGTTTTAAGGGAATTGAATTTTATTTTAAAGCTCTCAGAAACAAAGATCTTGATCTGGAATGTGATATATGGTTTACCATTTTAAAAGATATGAAATTCTAAAACTTCTGTTGTAGAATTAACTAGAGATGTGTTACTTTCGCTTATGCTGTGAAATATTACTTTAACTGTGTAAAAGTGTGTTACATTTGTTTATACTGCATTTGTTTAGTTATGAAAAGATGTGTTGCTGTTTCACTTTGTCTGCCTAAGGCACCTGATTGGTCTAATAAAGAGCTGAATTGCAGAGAAAGGACAGGTGGAGCTGGCGGGCCGAGAGAATAAATCGGAGGACAAATCTTGGCCCAAGAGGACAAGACGAAGAAGAGAGGAGAAAACAAGGGAGAAGGGGGGGGGGGGGGACGCCAGGGGCCAGCCAGGCAGCCGCCAGACAGACAGACATGGACGCAGCAGGAAAGTAAGCTATAAAGACAGAAAGGTAAAAATCCCCAAGGCAAAATGTGGATGAAAAGAAACAGGTTAAGTTATAAAAGCTAGCAGGAAATGAGAGCTAAGATAAGCTAGCAGGAAATGAGAGCTAAGATAAGACCAAGCATCCAAAACTAATAGTAAGTCTCCGTGTCATGATTTGGGAGCTGGTTGATGGCCCAAAAAGAAAATATCTGGTTCAAACTTCTATGTACAATCAATGTATTGCTAGTTATCCTTGTGTAGAAATAGGTTTGAGGAACACTCTTTACCATCCACTTGACAGTATTTCACTTGGCATCAAAGGTTAAAGTTCAGGTCAGGTAATGGATTTATCCTGATAAAAATGTGGCTTACAACATAGCACTAGAAGTTATGGGCAGTACAGACAACATATCCTCCAACCCCCATGTGGAAAATTATAGACAGAGTATTCAATTTTCATCTATTCAAAATATTTTTTCATAAATACATTAAACAATGTATAACTTTATATGCATCTTACAATAAAATTTTTAATTATATTACATGAAATCCATAGAAATTTTTGTGACAAAAATGTTAATTGCAAGACATTTTCATGTAAAACTAGGATCATTAATTTATTGAGAAGATTAATTTTTAAATACTATTAAGAGACTCCTGAATTATTTTCATAATTGATGAAAATGAGCCATGCAATGGTGTTGACCCTTTTAAAAAAATCCGTATTGCTGTGGCGTGAGAGAGAACTATAATCTAAAATTCAAAATATCCACCATGAAACCTTGACAACAAACAAATGGCTTCAACTAAATGAGTAAGGTTTGTTATTGGCCCCGAATTGGAATGAGCCAGGTATGGAGACAGAGACCTATAACCTGAACATTTAGGAGGCTGAAACAAGATGACCCTGAGTTTGGGTCCAAATGGGGCAGCACAGTGAGCGTCTGTCTCAAACATAACCATAGAATTGCATTGCCCTGAAATCTCAGAGCTCACAAAACTCATGACAGGTTTCACCAAATTTAGCAGTACTAAAAATTGATATTATAGTTAACAAACTGTGAAACTGAAAATTTCAATAATTTAAAAAATGTTTGAAGAGATATCAATTTTGTTCATATTAAACAATGTATTACCAAAATATTGTTGCAAATGATAGAGTAATATATATATGTGTGTGTGTGTGTGTGTGTGTGTGTGTGTGTGCATATATAAATTTAAAAATAAAGAGTAAAGCATTGTGGAAGATAATTAAATATTTTCTGAAATAATTTTTCTGGTATCTATCATCCTTTCCACCAAGAAGCTATTTACAGTCAATAGTTGCTGGGACAGGGAAAATCTGTTTTCTTCACAGTGGGGTGACACTGGACATTCCAGGGTGCACTGTTTTGGTTTCTGGGTTTCTGGGTTTTTTGGGTGTTTTTTTTTGGGGGGGGGGTTGTTTTGTTTTTTGTTTGTGTTGTTTAGCTTGGTTCTGTTTTCTGAATAGTTGTTAGTAGTAATCTCTTACTGTGTATTAATATTGTCATAGGTATGTATTTATAAGAAAAACATAGTGTATAGATAGGGTTCAGTACTATTCACAGTTTCAGACATCCACAAGGAATCTAGGACAGAGCACAGAACCTGCACAGATACAGGGGTAGAACTGCATCAGTGTGCTAAATATTTGAATCCATCAACTTAGGAAGAAAATTTTGATGGAAGATGCATATTAAGTGCTAGAAATCAAGAATACAAACTGAGACGGGGGAAAGACTAGGGTTGCTGAAGCACATTTAACAAGAAGAGAAATGGTAGTCATTAATAATGTGTCAATAGTGTCCATGGACTAACAAAGTAGAGGTTGGTATATGTAGTGGAAGTGTTCACATGGAAACAACGTGTTACAAAGAAAGACACTGTTGAAGGGTCGGAGGAATAAAAGGCCCAGGGAAGGACTCATAGGGCAAGTGGGCCTAAGGAGACTTTTCAAACATAAAACTTATGTTTCCATTGGAAAGCTATACTCCTTGCAATGATAAGACAAACACAAAGAGATATATTATTTCATTATTATGTGATTTATTAATATATAATATTAATGATATGTATTATTTAATGATTATATATGTTACACACATTTATAAATGAAACATGAATCAATACAAATAACAGCAATTCAATCCCACAGAAGCATAAAATACAAGTGACTGCTTTGTAGATGAAGGATCTTTTATTCTTTTATAAGGATACCAAAAGGCATTAAAAGATTTTAGGTTCAATGTGATAATTTGGAAAGTGGCAATATGGGAAAGAAATTGGGAAAATGGTAGGAAGGACACCAGGTAAGAGAGGTAGACGTTTTTACAGTCACCAAGTAATATACCAGAGAGCTTTGCACAAACAATAGTGTTTATAAAGGAAGAAAAGTGCATGTGGCTGAGATTAAAAAACCTGATAGAATGTAGAGGGTATGAGAATGAGACATGAACAGTTGGTAAAACCAACTATTGATGTGGGCATCCTGATGAATATAGATATCAAATTGTGTGGTTCCTCTGAGGAGGCACAAGGAAGAAGGGAACAGGACTAATGTTCCAACAGAAGCAAAGAACTGTGAGTCTAGAGCCCAGATGCTGAAGCTACGGGCTGGGACCTACACAGGGTCACATAGCTAAACGTGGGGGCTGAAAACAACAAGAGTAAAAGGTTTCTGAATGCACAATGATGAAAAATTCCTTCTTAATGAAGCATAATCTGAGGTGTATCCACCAGTACTCACCCATGTTGAATATATAGCTTTATGTTATATAGAACTAAGGAGTTCTGAACACACAGTATGTGCACCTTTCATGCCCTCAAGCCACAGGTCAATGAACAAGACTGTTGTATGTGCTTTGAATTGTAGTTCTTTTACTTTATGGAAAAGTTCCCTGCTTTGGGGGATTGGAGAGATGGTTCAGCAGTTAACACCTACTGCCCTTGCAGAGGACCTGGGCTCAGTTCCCATCACCCATCACCTACAGCAGGTGATTCACAATTGTCTGTAACTCCAGATTCATATCTGACACTCTGGTCTTGCCAAGCCCTGGAACTCATATGCACAAACTTACACAAAACATACACATAAAAGTAATATTAAAGTTTTCTGCTCTATGTAAACCATAGTTAAGCTGCATAAAACATGGACTTTTAATGTTTTCCTAGCTTCATTCCTCAGCGTGTATTAAATTCATATTTTTAATTATATTGCATTATAATATTTGATTTTCAGTTTTGAGTTGCTGAATTGAGTCTCATAGATTATTCACAGGCTGGGGAGGTGACTTGGTGGATAAAAGCACTTGTTTTGTAAACATGAGGGCCTAAGTTTAGATCCTTCAGAGTCACATAGAAGCCAGGAGTTGCCGAGGGCTACTTTAACTCCTGCACAGGGTTGTGGGGGAGTCGGACACTGCTAGCACTTGCTGACTCTTAGCCAAAAGAATACAAATTCCATGTTCAGTGAGAGAGCCTGTCTCAAAGGGATAAGGTGGGGAATGAAAGAGCAAGACACTTGACACTCTTCTCTATCCTGTGTGTCATAGGTGCACACACCTGTACACATGCATACCACAGATATACAAATCAACATTTTGTCTTTATATTAGAACAAAATTGACCATTTTTGAAATGACTCTAAACTCAACTCTGAAAATGTTGAGGGTGTTCTGTGCCATGCATTGTCAAATATTCAAGTTTTAATTTTTATGTAAAAATAATCACATGTATCTCATTAGTATATAAATTTGCTTTCATCATTAATGAATGGTAAGTTTTTATATGTGCCAAAATCAAATTCTTCATGTTTTATTGTCAGTAAATGTTTTATTTGCATGACTATTTTATATGCATATATATTTAGTGTCATGAAAGCTTCTCAGGAGAAAAGGATTCATGAATGGAAAAAGTCTAAGAGGCATTGATCTAGACTACAGTACTATTAGAGCATTCACATTTAACGTGGTGCCTTGTGATAAAAATGAAAAACACATTCTGAAATCTCCATTGATTATGAAGATGTGAAGAGAGACTTGTGGGTGGCAAGTTACAAGGAGAGAGGAAAGCAGGTATGATTGAAGAGACCAAAAGAAAAGTCTTACCCAGACTAAGGAGTTCTCCACACACGTCCTGTTACAAAAGGCTAAAGTCTGAAAAGTCTCTAGGTTGCTCAAATGTACAATACCCTAAGCCAAAGATATATGGAAATACCAGACATCCCAAGGTTTTAAGAAAATGTTATTGGTACACTAGGAAACTTTGAATAGTTTTAAGATTTTTTAAAATGTGTGTGTGTGTGTGTGTGTGTGTGTGTGTGTGTGTGTGTGTGTTCACTAGCACATGCATGTACACACAAGCATGTGGGTGTCCTCAGAGGGCAGAATAGGGTACTGGATCCCCACTAGCTGTAACTACAGGTGCTTATGAGTTGCAAAATGTGGGTGAGCTACCAATCATGAGTGCTGGAAATGGAACTCCAGGACTTTGAAAGAGTTAATGCTTGCCCGGCGTGGTGGTACCTGCCTTTAATTCCAGCACTCAGGAGGCAGAGGCAGGTGGATATCTATGAGTTTGAGGCCAACCTGGTATACAGAGTGAGTTCCAAGACAGCCAGGGCTGTTTACCCAGAGAAAGTCTATCTCAAAGAAACAAAACAAAACAGTTAATGATGTTAACCACCAAGACTTCCAACTCCTTTTTACAGTTTAAATCCAAACACACAAACAGAAATAGACCACTTGAAATATTCAAAAACTCAACATAAGCAGATTCCGTTAGAAAGCTACCTCAGGCAACTCTTGACAAAACCAGGGCTCCAGCAGATGAAACCCCTCACCTGCCAGGGTCAAGCTGTATGTGTATTTGTGTGTATGTGTACATACATTAAATGTTTATCATACACATGAGATTCTGAAGAGGTTGAGTTGTTGAAGGCCACTAAGTGATAGTCCTAGCTGGCATCAGTTGGTCTGCTTTCAAAGCTCATCTGTCTTCTACTGTATGAGGTTTTTTTGGAGGGGGATGGTTTGAGACTGGGTTTCTTTGCATTAGCCCTAGCTGTCCTGGATCTCACTTGGTAGACCAGGCTGGCCTCGAACATGGATATTTAATGTATGTACACATACATACATACATATATACATATGTAACACTCAATTAACACTAGGGCTTACTTCATTGCTTGTTACATATATACCTATGTGCATGCCAGAGCATACATACATACAGTAGCTGAAAATGTTGGCTTTATAGCAAGTATGTGGATTTTGAACATGAAAATGGCCATAGCATTTCACGATGGCATAGGCAACCAAATACAGCCATGCCAAAACCAAAGAATTATATTAGTTACTCAAATGCAATTAGAAGTTTTTCCGTATCAGGAAATTGGGAGGGGGGGTTCAATCTGGTGTACAGCGTTTTAAACGGAGTAATCTAGAAACATACCAGAATGACCTAGCAATGATTGTTTTGAATGCAGATTGTTTGACTCTGACACTGCATGCCCATGTTCTCTGTAGAACAGAAAGCACAGTCCCCTCCTTGGCACCTGTAAGTACACAACATGTTTTGAGACTCTAGCACAGTACCTGGCCCACATCATTATTAGATTCCTTTATTCCTTTTTTTTATAAATATAAATTATTTTTATTTTTTGTCATTTGATGTGTATTTTTATTAAGAAATTTTTTATTCAATTTACACACCAACCACAGATCCCCCTCTCTTCCCTCCTCCCGGCCCCCAGCTTCCCCACCTCCACCCCCACAACCCACCCCCCATTCCCTCCTCTGAGATAAGGTAGATTCCTTTATTCTAAAATAACAGCGATATTCACAAAAGATGGTCAGAAATACCTAATCAGGGCTGGTGAGATGACTCGGTGGGGAAAAAAGTTTGCTGCCAAAACCAGATCACCTGAGCCGATCCACAGAATAATGAAGGCAAGAATCGACTTCCAAAAGTTTCCATAACCTACCACATACATCATGGCACATGAAATAATGAAAAACACACACACACACACACACACACACACACACACACACACACACACCATACAACAATAATA